ATATTGGAAAAAACATCGGGACTATTTTCGAAACTCGATTGATTCTTCTCTCGCTTCGTTTTACCCCATATCACCGGATCGGTAGTTTCACCACGCTGCTTAGTGCTCGAGCTCACGTCATTGAAATTGTAACGGAGCGGTCGGCCGGGTTCGAACGATTGATTACTTTGATTAGGGAGATAAGATGGCGGATCTATAACGCGGAGCGCTCCCTGAGAAGCGCTCAGACCGGTTTGATCATTGTTTTGCTTGTCGTAAGAAACCGCGTAGGAGCCCGGCGTAGGTGGAACAGCGACCGGTGCCTCGTGAGAGCTGGACGCGCCGTAAAGATCAGACTGCTTGCCGTAAGATGTCGAGTAGGGGCTCGGACCGCCACTGAATTCGTTCTGATTCTGGTTCTGATAAGACGTCGCGTAAGGGCTCGGAATGTTGTTAAACTCGTTCTGCTGCGGAAAGGGGGCCGAGTAAGTATTCGCCGTGGGATTAACGTCGATCGGCTTATCGTAAGACGTAGAATAATAGTTCGGCGCGCTGTATTGCTGCTCGTACGAGCTGGCGTAAGATGCCGGAGCCGAATTGTACTGCTCGTGGCCCGGGAACGTGTTGGGGCCGGTGTCGGTGAGAGGGTCGCTCGGCACTTTGTACGTGTTCGCGTGCGGGGACGCACCGTGTTCCATCGTCGTGAGCGGATACAGCGGGGCGATTTGCCGAAGCGGCAGACGATGCGTGGTCAACTGATGCCAGGGCTCTAAGGGCTTCGGAGCGCCGTTCACGATCGTTGTGTCGTTAAGTATCGCGTTCACCTCCTTCAGAGCCTCGTCGGCCGATTGATAGTGGTAGTACGAGCCCGGGAATTGGTTGCCCAGGTTCGGTTGCGCGTTCAGAAAACCATTCTTGTTGGCCTCCGCTTCGTTCAATGGCTTATCGCTGCTGAGCGCGACGGTAGCAGGGAGATCTTGCGGAGGACTACTCTTCACCGAATTCAAAGCGTTCGTCGCCTCGGTCGACTGTGTCGGTCGACTTTTACCCAAGTTGGCGCGCACCACGTTTCGATTGGAAGAGCTGAACGCCGCGTCCGACAGAATGGCGTTTCCAGAATGCGGATTTAGGAGCGCGGAGACGGGATCGATGACAGGCGGTATCGGGATGACCTCGGGATTTTTTGACTCCGTAAGGTCGGCCACGGGCACCTTCAGCTGCGTGACGAAACGCACCATTACGTGACTCTGGTCGAGCGGCTCGAGTAAGCGTAGGAAAATCTTGCGCCCGGTGCCTGGAATTTTGATAGGTCCGACTATCGGACCCGGCTCGTTCTTCGACGGGTACAGCAGCTGTTTCACTATGTCCACGATCGACTCCAAGACGTTCTTCTTCGTGGTAACGCGCAGCACTGGCTCGATATGAATCGGCTTTTCTTCGTGCACTTCGGTGTTGGTGAGCAGATCTTTGGAGATTACCTGATTGTCGTTCAACTCGAACGTCGACGCCCCGACGATCGAGCGGGTCTTCAAACGTTTCATCGTTTCATCTCTCGAACGTCCACGATTGTAATGATATTGTTGTTGTTTTTGTTTTGGTTGTTGTAGTAGTTGTGGTAGTTTTGGAAATTTTTGTTGTTGAGGCCTAGGTATGTACTCGTAAATTGTTTTAGGCATCTGGAAAACCTCGTTTCGGACTAACGGTTTCTGTAACGTGAATATTTCAGGATAGAATGGGGGAGCGAACTTTATCCCTTTCTTCGTGACATCTTCAAAGACCAACTCATCGTGCAAGTTTCCTCTCGTTATCCTAAAGAAGTCAATTGCAGATTGTAGGCGATTATTTAAATAATGAAACAAACAATTGTAATGAAATAATGAAATAAAGAACGCAATAACGAGTAAAATATTGCTTAACAACAGAAATGCAATTTTATATTAGGATTTTATTAAATTCTTGTACTGTTAAATCTAATAAAACAACAATGAAAAGATGAATTCTTATCGAAGAAAAAATTATTTTTTAGAGAAATATAAAGAATAAAATAGAAAATTTTTTTTGTTAAATTTGCTTACCTATTTACATGTTTGAGCACGTTAGAGGATACAGTTGACGATAGATACGCACAGACCTACATACGAATACACAAAGAAAGAATAAAATATTTCTCTAGTTTACTAATATATATACGTATAGTATAATATATATACGTTACTAATATATATGTTTACATAGCACTACAAATTATTTATTGCTAATTGTAATTCAAAAAATCTTATTTTCTCACTTGGCATATATTTTTACGAAAAAATTCAAGTTAAAGTTAAAATATCCAAACTAATGTTAGTATTTTATTGTATTTAAAAGATTATTAATGAATTATTCACAATCATAGGAGATTTTGCACAACGCTAATTATTTTATAAAATTTTAAAAATTGGATTTATTAGCTAGAAATTTTTAAACTTTCATAAGAAAATCCATAAGAAATCCATTTTTTTCACAAAACTTTTATTCACAAACATTATTGACGAATTGGCGGAAATTAATGAAAAATCCATATCGATTGATTAATTATCTGGGTAAATTCACGCGGTTAATCACATAGATTGTATTCGTTGTTCACTTTTCTCACTGCAAAAATCATTCTTCGGATCGTTCTGTATCTTCACTCACCGTAATAAAACACGTGATCCTCATATCGCAGCTAGCACGAAATTCCGCTCACCTCACTGATCTACTGCGAGAACGACTGTAGTGCGGCAAACTATTAGCAACCTCTTTTAAAGCTTCCCCCGTTAGTGCAGCGTCGATGCTACAGCATGAGCTTGATAATGCATCCATAGACATCTAATGCCCTACCCATACGCTATAAGCACCGAGTGAGTATTGGGAGGCAATTAATTTTCTATATTTCCTTCTTTAAACCTCACATAGTTTCTAAATTATCGGCAAATACTACGACGGAGAAAGAAATCCAATTTAATGTCACGTTTTAAAGCAATAATCACCTTTCTAACCTTGAAAAATAAAAAATAAATAATTTATAAAACACTGTTCAAATATGCATTATACATTATAGAGCAAAAACTATCTCTCATGAAAATTTTATTCATGATATGCATTTATATTTTTGAAATCAATCTTATTCATATTCTTTAAAATAAATAATTTCTTTATAGCATTCTACTTTTTTTTAAATAAAAAATAATTTTTTATTTATGTTTAATGAGATTCTTGAAAGAAAAAAATCTATATTATATTGAACTTTTTTGTACTTATAGATACGAGTTACGTGCGGAACGAAATCCAATAAAAGAATCTTTTTATCTTTGACACGTTAATTTATTTTAGAACAATTCTTACAAATATTACACTATTTTGTCTATTAAACGAATAAATAATTATGTGATAAATTAAATGATATTATGATAAATATGTAATACAGGTTACATTGTCTATTTATAGATTTTTAAGTTTAATAATCTACGTTGACTATGAAACATATATTAATTAGTATGAAACTTTTACTGGGAAAGATAGACACTTGTTTATCTTTAATTGCAAAGATGAAAACATATAGATACGTAATGCCATGTCCGTTCCTTGACAGCTCAATATATATGACGCTTTAATATTGTTGTAACTTTTTCACTCTGGCGATAACATTTCAAAAATACATAATAGAAACGTGTAGTAAATACACATACATTTGCATTATTAAAATGTTTATTTTCCAAGTTAACACGAGAGTTGTTATAATAAAGGCCAATGGCTTGATAATGAAAGTAAAATCACTTGTATGCGTTTTAATTGCGTGTTTGCAAGTTTCCCATCTTCAATGCGAAGCGCTAAGTTTCTAACACATCGTTTAAATGTGGAAAGTTGTTTGTCGAATCGCAAAAATAATATATATTAGATCCTTATCTCCGGTGTCAATTCTTTTAGTCGTAGTCGCTCGATCGGATAAAAATCCGTTGGTCAATAAAGATGAAAAAGGGTGGTAGTTTTCGTGGAATGTGTACGTAAAACCGCATATGTATATGTGATAGTCCCACATAATTATATTTACTCCAAGAAGCGCCGATAACGGAAAAAGGCGTGGTTACGGTGCCGGTTACAAACATGTTCGAAAAAACACATAAATTAATATAAAAAGAATTAAGATTCTAGAATGGAGTTTATAATGTCCAGTCTAGCGGCAAATCAAGTTTTCTTCTTGGGATCAAACACATTAATGCAATTAAAGTATCAAAAACGTGGGTAAACAATCCTGCCTGCTCGTGCGACCTAAATGATTATGCATTTACGTAAATGTGCATGATACTTTCCGATAAGATCGGAATACTTCTGATAAAATCAAAATACTTTTGATAGCATCTCTCTCGAAATGCATTCATACCCACTTTCTCACTCGCGTGTGTAAAATCGCGTGTTACATTATGATACATACGGCGTTCCAAACCACCGAATATTTTTCCGAATTTCCATATTACATGTTTTTATAACCCTTCAACTCTATTAAAATAATATCCAATAGAAATTAAATAGAAATTAGATAGATATCATTTTGTCACATTACACTTTTCTAAAGTTGCGTCTATTATGCAAAATTAAGATCTATTAAATAATTTCAATATATTCAAAATATTGTATTATAAATTTTATTAGTGTTTAAATAGGAAAGAACAATTTCTTATTAATTCTTTTCACATAAACATCAATTTCAATTAAAGAGATTATGATCTATCATTAGACTGTACATAACTGTCTCATAATTGAAAATCTAGTTCAAAGTGATTTATGACAGAAAATTTATCAATCCGACATAGAGATTAATTAATTCAACATTTGTCACTTTTGATAAGAGGGAATGAATCCTTGTAATGTAATTGAGCAAATGCATCGCTCATTAATCACGTCTCTACAACTGAGTTGATTCGAATGTTAGCGCGTTAATCTCGTTAGCGCGTTGTTTGATTACCACAATTTACTCGACAGCTCTTAACAAAGTTGAAGCAAGAAATAGAATGTAATTAAAAGACTTGCAAAACATAAATAAAACATGTACTTTATTCTTTCACGTTTGCAACGAAGCGTTTGCTTTTATGGTAGAGATACAGCGATAATATGCATTTTTATTATTTGCGTAAATCACATTTACAATTTTTGCGTTACACATCTGAGATTTTCTTATTATTAACACTTTCGAATGTTACACGCCTGACTGCACAATATGATGCTAATCGCTAATCGTTGACCGCTAAATGTTCGCCTTTTGCGTACTTCCAATTTTCATATTTCAATGATAACCGCAGCTCCCGATGAAAGCGTCAGTAATGTTTCTCGCGCTCAACGATTCCTTTTTTCGGATGCAATTATTGGCAATAATTCAGCTGAAATTGAATCGGCGTTTTCCATCGAAACGAAATCCGTACGCCGCGCTGTTCGGTGCGTCAACCAGCGCCGGGTTTCGATATTGATGAAAAGATCCATGAAGATGAGGCGGTCTCACGGCGTTTTGTTCCTCGTCTTGCGTGCCCTTCAAGTAAAATGCCTCGAACTGACCCTCGGGTAGAAGAATGTCCTTCAAGGACTTGTCGTTTGGATCGTACGCTGACGTGAAAGTAATTAACGCCAGAAGAAAGTACAAAACCTGTAATAAAATTGTCTTCTCTATGGCTATCGATATGCAAAAATAAACAATCGCTTTGTTATAAATAATAGATAAATTGGAAGAAATTAATTATGAATTCTGTAAAATCAGACACTGATTCGGATGTTAAAAATTTATTTTTATAAAATAAGTTATTGAATACCAAGCTAATACTAATAAAAAAAACATTAAAAATATTAAGATATTTATTAAATATATTTTCAACATTTACAGTAATTAATCATGATAATTAATAGGTTAATAAATATTTATTTAGTATAAAAAATGATAATATAATTATAAAACATCCATATCTTAATCACGAATATTTAAAATATAACTTTCTCTCTTTATATATATATCTTTATAAATTATCATAAAATACAATAAAATCGATAAGATCACGATTTATCTACAATATCGATAAATCTTTCTATCACCATGAACCATCGCGTCAGTTACGAATGACAATAATTTTCGGTGGATAGTATCATTACGTACCAGCAAGATGTTCCGGTCGTTCCACATCATTACCACTTTCCGTTCCATTTCCCCGCCCAGATCTCGCGCAATCAAAACACTAAAATAACAAATAATGCGACGTTATGCGTGGGATACGCGGCGACGACCTGTCAATAAACTCTCTCAAGGGAATCAATGAAACAGGGAAAGCGATAAATCGGGTCATGCGTCGGATTTTAATTATATGCCGCGCCACGTGGCATGCAAATATGTTTATAATTGCGACCGATGAGCTATAAAAAAAAAAGGTCGGGTTTGTTCGTCCGTAACGTGCACTTGCGTTTGGCGCTAATATCCAGGTACTCGATGCGTGGAGATACGCGCACTTAATGTTGCATGCGAAACGTGAGCATCGCCTCGATTCGCAAGGTAAATCTAGAGTAAGGTACGCCGTATCTCTATAATAACAAGTCTTGTAGAAGCAAATCCCGGGAGAAAATCGAAGAGATCTAGAAATTACAGTTAAATCACGAGTAATAAATATTTTGTAAAAATGTGCAGGATGAAAGGATCTTGCGACTTGGAATAAGAGCGAAAAACCGCTCAGAACTTTATTTAAATTATTAATAACTTGCATAAAATTAAAATTGAAATCAATTTAAATTATTAATAACAAATTGTTTAAAATTAAAATTAAAATCAATTTAAATTATTAACAAGAAAATCAAAGTTATAGAATTTCATAAATTGGCGGTAAGAAAGCGAGATGAATACATAAAAACTATTAAAGATAACGTTAAGAAAACTCATTTGTAAGAAAAGTAAATTTATATTTGCTCTACAAATCGTATCTGCTTAGAGTTTATAAATGCAGATTAATTTATATCAGATACAACATACCTGTTCTAACCGCAATAAACTAATCTATCTAAACGACGGTATCACAATGTACATCATTAGAAATGTAAATATATCTCTAGAACGCCCGCTCTAAAATCAACATTTTTACAGTCGCTCTCCATTCTCTTTTATGCGTGCGTACTTTGACCGCTCGCCCATTACGTCATAGACTTACATTGACGAAATGTAAGGCCTTTTGTTGTACTTCAAAAAGAGTCGTTGTTTTAATCGCTAACAAAATTAGTTTTTACTTTATTTTCATCGTTGACTAAATTAACTTAAAACAACACTTTAAAATATAACAAATATATTTTTTTCAAATGACACAAAAATCCGAAAAGCATTTAAGGAATATTTAAAAAAATTAAGACGTCCTTTAAACATCTTTACAGCTTTTAAATATATTCTTTCGAATATATCTGTGATCTGTTGACAATGATATAATTGTGTATTTTTTAATCTGATATGACCCCGTGTTTTTTAATTTTTAATTGACATTAACAGTGCTGAAAAAAGTTATGATTCTCTTTTCTACATACAAGATGACAAGCTGTCATTTTAAGGATATCACAAAATCGCAAATCATTCTCGTGTTAATGGGCAGAACTTAATATTTATCTTCGCAACTAATTACGTATCATTATACATCAGATCATAGGTCTTTGCTCGCGAGATAAAGCATCGGTAAATAACCATAAAATGACGATTACACATGCGGTGTCCAATTAAAAATCACGATGATCCGCGGAGCACGAGAGCGAAAGTGTTCAAGCAAAGCGTGACGGTGCGAAGCGCACGGTTCGTCATCACCTCGCAGATTAAATGCCTCGAAGCTCGCGATTTAATCAACTTGACAAGCTCCGTCGAGAACCTACTTAGTGTTCTGATTTATAGAAAGAGTTTTATCCAAAGTGTACGCTTACATTTCGCTTAAATAAATCAAAATGGTGCGCCGTTTACCAAACTCAGTCGGAGGACACATTTTTCCCGATCAAAACCGATCACCGTTCTCTCCATCTGGTCAAATTTAACAGTTCGTAAAAAAAATCAACATTGTAATGTAAAATCAAGATACTAAGAGCCTTATTAGTAGCGTCAGCTTTGTCTATCGGTTGTTGTCTTTTACGGGCCTTAAACACATGTCTGGATGAGTAAAACCTCCGGGAAATTGCGCGCGCGTGCGGAAAGCTTCAAAAGACTCACCGAGGTATCGCCAGGAAAAGTGAAAGCCAGCAACCGAGCGACGACGGCAATGGTACTCGCGATAGAGGCAGGTTTCGAGGCGTCACCGATCCGCACGACGTGCCTCAGCCACGACGGCCTTGTCGCGTCCGCGCTCCGTCGTGATGGAAGTCAGCGCTACGCCGCAACGTGTCCTCGTCCGTAAAAACGGAAGTCGATGAAAGTGGATGCCAAGCCAAACCGAGTCGTTCTCTTTTTTTTTGCCGTGCCATGAATATCCAATAGCGAGAGCCGCATACGCGCTTCGCCGATGGATAAGCGTATCTCTTTCGAGCAATAAGAATCGCCTTTTTCTCTCGGTACTTTTTTGGCACACTTTACTTCTGTGGTGTCTCTTTGCTCGACGGCTTGACTCACGGTGGATAAGAAATAACTGGATATGCGTGTATCCTTAACACGAAGATATGAACAATTTATTGCCGGAGAAGAGAAAAGAAGTCCATTTAATTTTCTCCTAATTGAACGTTTATCGAAAAGCAAACAAAAATGGAAAATCATAGAACAGAAATAGACACGGTTTGATTAAAAGGTCTCTGACTTTCTGACGTTTGCGTAAAGCTTTAATGATATGCTCAGATGGGAGACGAGCAATTTAAATAATTTCATAAGAAACTTAAAGAGTACAATATAAAAATAATTAGCAATTTTATGTATTAAATTTCTAAATGTACATTGTAATATACGATTGATATTATCCTTAAAAAGAGAGGAATTAATTTCACATGAAATTAATATATCAGTAATAAATATATAAATATATGTATATGTCTTGCGATTAGAAAACAGAATATTAAAGCTATTTTATCGAATATATATATCACGACATTTAATCGTAAATAGTTAATAATACATTAAATTGCTATTAATGCTAATTACTAACTTTTACTTTACGAAAGTGCTGTTTTGACAATTCAAGTCTATGGAATCGCGATTTTAGACACTTGCTTTACATTTATGCGATTACTGTCAATCCAGTCGCACATATAAGAGGCTTAATTTGATATATATATGTACTAATATGAAATATAATATTTACCTAGACGTTTCGAGAGCGAGGATAGAAAGCGATATAGTGAAATCACTCTTATAAGTTTAAAAATACTAATTATCACTGATCTTTTTGAATTAAAGGCTAGTAATATCGCCGCGCGGCTGACTGATTGCTCGTTTCCAAGTCAAGCAGAGAAATCTTGTTTTGCGAACGCATGACTAACAAGAGAATCCCGCTGGCCGGAGCTTACGGGTTGAGTTCAGATGAAATTTCGTGAGTATACAGTATAACTCGAGACAGAATTACTTATCACAGAAAATATTTAGATAAAAAATGGAGATGAAAACCTTATCTACAAATCTGTTTAAATCTATTACAAATCCGATACGTCGAGGTGAAAATTTGTCTTATTTCGTTCGAGCCTTAATTGCTAAATAAAATAAAAGTAGATGAAAAGATTATTTGTCGTACATTTACCGAGATAAATGCTAGATAAAAAATATAATTACTTAGTCTTTGCTCTTAATTTTTCTCCCCAAAATTTAATTTTTATTAATCCTTGATATGCACCTAATAATTTGATATAACTGGAAAAAATTTAGATTTTCGATAAGCGGACACATTAAAATGCTTTTTCTACAGTTGCAAGATATAACGAATACAATATGAAAAATTCGTAGCACCGCATATTGTTTCAATATCTCTCGTTAACGTATCTTCGATAATATTTCGTTTACTTAATACTTATATTTATGGCATGCGTTTGAATATTCATTATTATACCAGATCTGGGCGAAATCTGCGATTTTTCGATTTTCATAATTGCTCACCGCTTTCCTTAATGAACCGCCGAATAATTTATAATTAAAGGCAACATACAATTTCACGATTAATTACGGTCATCAGAAAACTTATTGAGAACGCGAGTGGCAAGGAGGAAACAGTGGGCGTCAATCATGAAAATTAATCGAAAGTTGCAGATTTTTCTAGCTCTAATTTATAAAAATATGAAATATCTCAAATAAAAAGTAAAAATATCAAAGAACTATTTTCACCGTTACTGTCATGGTATAATGATCTGAAACGAGTATTTCTCTTCTCACGTGTCTCTAGCGCTTTATTTTTAGAAAAATGTTGTTTCTTTGATAAAATATCATAATTGTTACCAGAGCTGAATTTATCTATAAATACACTACATACTAGCTGGAGACTTTGCAAATTCAGAAACCTTCGATAAAATATTGCAAACAATGATAATGATTTAATAATTATTGTTCGATTTGTACATACATCAATAAAAGGAGAACAAAATTTTCTTAATTATAAAGCTCCTTGCAATGCAACATTTGAGGTCAAAAAATTTAATTATATAAAAAATATAATTGCAACGAAGTTAATAAAAGACAAATTAATTATATAATTATTAATTTCATAATATTGAAAATAAGAAAAAAATATTTATTGTTTGATATTAAATAATGTTACATGCTGAATAAATGTTTATTGTTAATTTACAAAATATTAATAATTTGAAAAATTAGTTACCCAATTGTGTAACTTGATGATTATGTCTATATTAATTAGCTTGTTTTCCTGCGTCTATTAAAATTTATATGTACCGCAGAACTCTAAAAAATATTGTATATAGAGATAAGAAACAGCTTAAACCCAGCCCTGATTATTACTTTTTTCTTAAGTACTTTTCTAACGCCGTCATTATATTATAGTATAAAATTACAAACGTTCCACGAAAGATATAAATATATATCAATATATATATACATATATATATATGTAGTATATTTATGCTCATATATAATATTCAATTATTGAAGACATCATTTGCGCCTTGTTTCTTAAGACTGCATGAATTATTTCTTATAAGTTACATATAACTATATAAATTACGTATCAATCGTTGAATAGATAATATGAAATTAATGAATAACAATAATAAATAAAATGTTTACAAAAGATGTAAACAAATGTGAATAATTTCTTCAATTGATTACTTTCAACACTTTTACTATTATGAAAAATATCGCTTTCGAGTAATGATAAAACTCGACAAGATTGTACAAAATTCTCACTATTACAAACTAAATATGGTATGTTTTTTCTTTATACATACATTTGCATTGCACATTTATATGTATGTGTATATACATATCACATGCAAAATAATTCTATTAATTAGAACAATTTTGCCTGTTTTAATGAACTTTGTATAGAGTGAATTTATTAAAAAATTATGATTTCCAAAAAAAATAAAAATAAAGTCATAAATAATAAAAATAGAAAGAAAATCTGTAATCACAAATGTATCGATGTATTCGCAAAAATCAAATCATCAAATATAAATAATCAAATCATAGAAAACAAAGATTATTTAAATCACGCAAAAGTTTTCTCTATTATTTCTCTTTGTCTTCGTTAAAAAAAATTTAGCATTATCCAAATTCTTGAAACTGCCAGAATATCAATCATGCATTATAATTAATTGGTATTTATAATATATTAAATGTTTCTCTCTCTAAGTCATGGCTATAAGTAGCATTCGTACCAAAATATAATTTTAGACAGAGTATAGATAAGAATCTAGCTTAGTCTTTGCTTTAGGAGGCGAGGTAAAGGGAGAAAACCAAGCTATCGAAAATCTTCCGAAAACCGCTTGAATAGACTTCCATTTGCTATTACGAACCCATCTAGCCTCTTCCTTTTTCAGTTGTTCTATACCCTGAAATATAAGCATTTCGATATAAATCATATCTTTGTATACAAAGAGAAAACGTTATACAGTCAGAGCGGTATACATACAGTTTCATCATTCCAAATAGCTTGTAATTGTGTGCCTAACATCACAGCAGTAAAAATGGCAAATAAAAGGGCCTCGAATGCTAAAAATAACAACAGCACCACTGTCGCTGGTGGACTAAGTGTCGAACATTCTCTCCATTCTTGTCTGATGCATGTAGTGAATTGTTGCATGCATAGGAATAAAGATTGTAATGATATGCCCGCTATATAAAACTGAAATACAGTATAAAACTAGAATGTATCTATATTTTATCATATAAAATATCTCTATGTAAAATTTAATTAGATTAATTTAATTGTATAGAGGTAATGTGTGAAATACTCACAGTAAAAAGTACAAAGTACTTTTGATTATTTTCTCCAACGCAATTATTAACCCATGGACAATGATGATCCATTTTTCTAATGCATCTACATCAATTATAAGATACAATCAATGCGTTGCCATATTGTCTAATAAATACAAATTTAATCTTATTCACCTTTGGCAGACGGAGCAATGATGCGCCCTGTCAGGTTTAATAGAACAACATTTGGGACACTTAAAAATAACTTGTCCATCTCTAAACCCCATCTGTTGTATCAGCTCTTTCGTGGCGTTACCTTTTGGTACTGCACCCTATACACAAATCAGATTGACAATAAAGCCTTAACATGTCTTATTTTGTACATAATTAACAATAATTAATATTTGATCATTATCTTAATTACCGGATCTGTAAACATGGTTTTCAGATGTGACGCAAAAGCCAGAAATGCTAGACATTGAAAAATGGCCATGTTCAAGCTGGAGTATAATGTGTTTATTGTAGGAATTAGAATCACTGCCGTTACTACAAATTCTGCGTAAATTATTAGTAGCCATGTTAATACTGCACATATAATGCCGCATATATCCTGCAAATATCAGTATTAGAACATTAGAATATTGCTTATTGAACGACAACATAATGCAGAGCATTAAAAACTGTACTTTTAAAACATACTTTAATACACCAAAGTTTTCCACCACACCATCTATTATGAAAATCTCTCTCCCTATGAAAGGGAATGTATTCATAATCCATCATCAAGATTATTCACTAAACTACTGTATCCTTTATTGAATATAAAGGAAATGACTAACATCTCCACCTTTGTACATATTGAAATCTGCAACTATATTCCTAAAAGGAAAAATAGGTTATTACCTCAACGAGATATATAAAGTAACATTTTTAGTACATAGATGTAATCATTTATGTTTGAGTTTTATTTATCTGATATCTAACATCAAAATAAATGTTTATCAATGTAATTCATCAATAACATCAAAACAAAAATTAGATAGACAAACTAGATCAGTTTCAGTGCTAAATGTACAATAAGAATATGAAGCATCAAATATCAAGTCTCAAGATTCTCGAAAGACATGTAACCTATTCCAATTAAATACTCACATCACTGTACAGTGACATGCATCCCCTAAAGAGCAACAATGTACGATGGCTTTTGTCATATGTTGTTTGGCATTGTGGCGTCGCAAAACAGCGCGTACAGCGAGCGCTCGGCGTAAAAATTGATTTTTTCGATATCACCTAATCAGCAATGGAATGCGGAGTGCGTGCGTACCGCGGCGTACAGTCATAAATACATGAACATTCGCAATAATTTTGAATTAATTATGAGTGAAACACACATGAGAGAGCGAATCGGCTTACATTATCGACAAGATTCTCTCTCCCTGTCTTTGGTTGTCTCCCTCTCGTTACAATTTATAACGGTTCCACGATCGTGTAAACGTGCCGCGGAAGGAGGCGCGTTCTGACTGATCTCTTATCACGTGCGCTAATCTAGAGATCCCGAAAACACAGGAATAGCGAAAGGTGCATCCGCTACGTAGAGCGGAGACCGACCTTGCCTTTTCGAAATCGGCGAGCGCCAGAATGCGCCACTTGCGAATTGCCGCGTGCGCCTCCAGCGGTTTGACAGTACGCAAGGTGGGGGGCCGTGATGCACGGCCATATTGGCTACTTGTGACTTTTGGGAGGAACGAGTAAAAAATAACCCAACTTTCGTCTCTGCGTAAAGTAAAATGTTACCTTGGAGAATTGTTCATTGATCCTCGCTACACTGCGATCCTGTCAAACGTGACTGCGGCTTCACGCCGGGACATCTCACTCGCGCACAGACTGTGCTTTTTTTCTTGAAAAATGGTGCGTTTATCCGGGAGGGACAGTCGTAATCGCTCTGTCGTTGTAGCACGAAATTTTCGCCGATAAGCTCTTCTCGTCACAACAATTATATTACCGCTTTTGTTTTTTGTCACAGAGTTTCTTCGGTTTTGGCCAATCCGCCGATATAGAGATTACGTTGGACGGCGCTGAAACGCGGAAGACCGCGGACATCAAATCCGAGGATGGCAAGAAGGAACGACACTTGCTGTATTACGACGGAGAAACCGTGTCCGGCAAGGTAAGACTGCTTTCTGGAATCGAAATTTAATATCGAGTCGCCGCCGATTGTAGCTGATTTGCAGATAGTGCTACCTGATGAGCCTAGAATGTTAATGCTTACATGCAATGTACTAAGTGTCAGAAACTATGCGATTTATCATTTATTCTATGTGGAATTCAAATAACTATTGTATTTCTGTTAGATAAAAATTTCTTTCTTATAGTGTAGTACATTAAGCAAATTGTCATTTATTCGATATATGAAAAACTAAAACATAATTTATTTATATAATGTCATATATTATAGATTGGTTTTTTTTTTTCAGTTTTGTTTTATGTTCTATATTTATGTATTAATTTATTATTAACAACTGGCATAATTATAGAAAAATATCTATATATTATAAAATATTAAACATACATGCTTTTATTTATAAAATTTTTCCATATGTCTTTTGAACTTCTGCATTACAGATTAGTATTACAGATAAATTACATTAATTTTATAATTATATATAAATTTTATTGTATTCTGATTACTTGATAACACGTATTAATTATTTTGACATTTTATTTTATGTTGTTATGACATATATGCTCTTTTATATAAACTTACCAATAAATTAATGCTTACAGATTAACATCAGTTTAAGGAAAGCTGGTAAATTAGAGCATCATGGTGTTAAGGTAGAATTTATTGGACAAATTGAGCTATATTATGACAGAGGTAATCATCATGAGTTCACAAGCCTGGTGAAAGAATTAGCAAGGCCGGGAGAGTTGACACATAATACAGTATATACATTCGAGTTTCCAAATGTGGAGAAACCGTTTGAGAGTTACACTGGTTCCAATGTGCGACTAAGATATTTCTTAAAAGTGACAATTGTAAGAAGACTTAGTGACATTGTTAAAGAACTGGAATTAGTTGTACACACTCTTAGTTCCTATCCAGATATGAATAATCCCATTAAAATGGAAGTTGGAATTGAAGACTGTTTGCATATCGAATTTGAATACAATAAAAGCAAGTGAGTTACATTGCAAACCACTCGCATTGATTTTCTGATATGGATTATATAGTAATATAATTGCCTCTTTTTCAGATATCATTTGAAAGATGTAATTGTTGGAAAAATATACTTTCTTTTGGTTAGAATAAAAATAAAACACATGGAGATAGCAATCATCAAACGAGAAACTACTGGTTCTGGTAGGTTATAAACAACTCGTACACTCAAGTATAAAGTAGCATTAGTATTCACTATAATTTCTGCACTTTTGAATGCATGCATGTGGCAAAATTGGAAGAAGAGTTTTGGTTTTACAAGATCTGTTCTTTTTAGTATCCATGGTACTATATAAGGCAATAATTAGAATACATATTTGCAGGCCCTCATACATTCACCGAAAATGAAACTATAGCAAAGTATGAAATCATGGATGGTGCGCCTGTTCGAGGAGAGTCCATTCCCATAAGGGTATTCTTAGCTGGATACGATCTGGCGCCTACAATGCGCGATATTAATAAGAAGTTTAGCGTTAGATATTATTTGAATTTAGTTCTCATGGATGAAGAAGATCGACGATACTTCAAACAACAAGTGAGTAATTATTTATAAATCAAATGTGTTAAGATTTTTTTTTAGAATTACACTTTTCCTATCTTAATAATTATCTTATTATTATGGAACAGAAATATTAGAGCCTTATAAGGAGACTATCAATTCTTCTTTGTCTAATTTTTGTATTTATTATTTAGGAGATAACATTGTGGAGGAAAGGTGAGAAAAGCAGAAAATCGCAAACGGCCTCGCCACACATGCCATCACATTTAGTGTCGGCAGAAACAGGATTCCCGCAAGGTGCTGCTCAGAATGGCCCTCCATCAGTGCCGCCCGGTTCGGGACAACTGCCAACAAGTAACATCACGAATGTAGAGGACACCCCAGCACCAATCGAAGGCATGACACGAGAGGAAGGAGACGGCGAAGGCGAGAAGGAAGCTGGTCCAGAAAGTGATTGAGTCTCCGGATGTAGTCCAGTTCTTGGTGTCAGTAATGACCCAGATTAGCTGAAAACGTCAAATACATCTGAGATAAATGCAAGAATTAGTTTAAAAAATATCTCCTTTATTGCATTGGGAGATTTGTTTTTAGTAAGAAAAATAGCGGGAGATGCATAAAAGGCCTGCTAGCAAAGTTGTAAATATTTTGGATACATTATATATAATTGAGAGCGAATGATTTATAACTAGCAGATTATCGATCAAAATTATAATATTTCCGAGGAATAGGTAAAAAAAAGGGAAGATTTTGCCATACGGAGAAAGATTATTTCGAGATTATTTAACGAGCCATGTGTTGCAAATGAGTATATATAATATGAACAAACAGTATAAATATTCCTGAATGGACGGCTTACTAATCAAATATTAACCGACGGTACATTTTGCAAAACATCTGGGTGTTACAGTGTTCTAAATGTTTTATACAGACAATTGCCCACTGACCCGCCCACTGTATAATTCTGAAAAATCCGAATTCTCTCTTTTTATGGCAGCGTCATATTAATACGAAGAGAGTTTATAAATACAAAAGTGGATATATACTCACAAAGGCTGCCCCATATTAATCCGTTCACCTAGTCTGCGAGTACTATAAACGAAGACACGAGAAAGCTACTTACGTATATGAGATGCATGTTTTTAAAAATAATTTATATATAAACACATGAGACACCTTAAGCGAGAAAGATCGCACTTATTTTTAGAGCGCGTTTGTACAAAAAAAAAAAAAGAAAGATTCTTGCACGATACAAGCCATAGATTTTCTTCAGCTTTGAGTTTAGCGCTGTGCATAAGAAGAATTTCATAAGATAGATTTTTATATGCAAAAGCGTGCGTTTGCGTAATATCAATCTTCCAGACACATATTATAATACCTGCTCAAGTCGATATGCCTTTCTGGACACGAGAGTGGACTATGATAGATTAAATAATGGGGTAGCCGCCTCGTGTATTTATAAATATATACATACTGCAGTATATGTGTGTGCATATATACATATACGACTTCGCATTCTGGCAAATGACTGATTGGATTATACGGTGTGTTTGGTAAATTGTGATATATGTCAGGAGAATATTTCGTGAAAAAAAAATAAAAATTATAGAATAAATTTTTTTACTACGGTTTTTAAACAAATTTTGAATATAAAAGTAATGTGCACTTATCGTTTAACATGAATCGTTTTTTCTAAAAAAGTGACAATTTAAAATATATATTTTATTTTTTTCACGAGAAGTTTCCTCGCTGGCTGTATCACGATTCTCTTGACACACTGTATATTTGTGTATATGCACACACAGGTACTTACATATTGTAATATCACCAACAGCCGTAAGCAGACATTTTCTTTCATCACTACAGTATTGTGAAATACTACAGTGATAAAAGCATTCCTGCTGCTGCAAAAGGCAAACCTATCGTTTTGTACTGTTCTATATTATGGAGGTTTGACTGTAAAAAAAACCTTATGAGAAGAAATGCATAATATTAGATGATATATATACATGTAACTTACGCGCTCAAAAAGTAATGTTTTGTTTCGTGTAAGTTTAGACTTTTCATAATTCACACACGTTTGTTATTTGTTGATTATAGAGGATGAAAACGACAGAGATAGGTAAATAAAAGGGGGGGAAAAAAAAAGAGAAATATGTACATGTAAGCAAAAGGAGGGAAAATCTATTTGTGAATTATTTGACATGTCAAATATTGTATATATATACAGATATATACATATTATCATGCGGTATGCAACTAGTTGTATATTTTAATGCTCATATGAATATATATTGTATACAGCGCATATGTGCATATATGTATATTGGAAAATGATCATTGTTTTATGTATATACATACCTGATCCAGGCTTAAATCCTGACCACAGTTTTATATAATTCTTTAACATATAAATTAAAAAACATTTAATAGTAAATCAAATTACATAAATGTTTTAAAATAATGCACTTTTATATTTAAGTTTAAATGTTTAGAAAAAGTAATGTTTCTTTTTTCCCTGTTTTTGCTAAATCATAATTTTATATTATATTTATGCTGTTAATTGTAAAATATAAAAATATTGATTAGAAAAGTTATATGTTAGACGATTTTTTCTTTACGAAAATATAACTCGTTGAGAGAGAGAGAGAGATAATTGTTATTTTGTAAAGTAATAATGTAAGCACGCGCGAATTACATGGGTATTTGTCACTAGCTATAAACTTCACAGGTAACTGGTAAAAATGTCACTAGCTAAAATTCCTAGAAAGCACATTTTCCTATTGGTCATCGGAAATGTAAATTAGATATTGCATGTGGTGTGAATCTCCCATTAAATGCTTTCAGAACAGAATTCTCTCTAGAAAATTTGATATTAGGTTACTCTTATTCAAATACTTCTTTAAATTCGACATTTGAACGCAACAGAGTCAAAAATCATGTCAAAAAAAAAACATAATGTGTCATACATTAAACCGAATGAGCCGAAATTTCTACGAGAATTGAAAGAGCAAGCCGGATATAAAGAAGGTCCTACTGTAGACACAAAGGTAAGATTCTGCATGTGAGTTATTTGCTGCAAGTTGAATTCTATTTATGATTATATTTTATATTGTTTATAACACAAATTTTATATACAATATAATTTATAACACAAATTTTATATCTGTCTATTTCATTAAACTAGAAAGAAGCACTACCAGAAATCTCTGATGATGAAAGAGAAGACTTAACTGATGAGAAGCCTGTTGTTGTCGTCTTAAAGTCAGGTGATTTAACAGCAGAAGAAGCAGATGCCTTCGAAAAAGAAAAAGAAAAAGGTACAGAAACATTACACTGTTGAAACTATTCATAGAGAGTACACTTTATATGAAAAATATGTTTAATATCAATGTCTCTTGATCAAAGTTATGAATTAATTTACAGAAGAAAATAACGCACCTGCTGATTTGTCTAAGAAGATTGTATTTCGCAAAACTAAAGCAACAGAATCCGAATCTGACGCCACAGATAAACCTGTAAAAAAGAAAACGAAGAAAACAAAGCAGAAGGTTATCTTGTCTTTCGACGATAATGAGAATGAAGACGATGATGTTGGATAACATTGTAAATTTTTACTTAAGTGTACTTGTGTATTATATCTTCTAGTATAAGTAACTTTTTTCTATCATAAATAATGAAACATCTGACACATTGTTGTCAAGATTATATGTGAAACTTAGCTATAGAAAAAAATATTACTTAAGAACTTGTGCATCTTGTAAATTGTATAAACAAGAAATTGTATGATAAAAGGGGGAGATTTGGTAAGAATATTTGCATTGTTTGCAATTGCAAAAATGCCTTTCAGGTTTATAAATTTTACTTGTATAACAGCTGAGATTTTCAAAAAAAAAGTATACAGAAAGGTTATGTGAAGGTGATATAAAAATATAATTTTTATAAGCAATATATTTGATAAAAGTTTATCTTTCCATTATTATATTTCCGATAATATTGAAATACATGCATGTATTGCAAATTGATCTAAAAATATCATTAAAATTAAAGTTGCGAATTATAGAACACTATATATATCATTAGCAATATATATGTGCTTCAAAAATATCGGTTTGGTATAAACTAATTATAATATCAACAAAAAAGTGATTTATTTAGTAATTTTTTGTTTTTACTTAATTTTCATATTATAAATGTGTCAATCAAACATTAAAAAGGGTCGTGTGTCCACCCCATTACGCCATGTCGATTGCATATCGCCCTTATTTTTAGGGAAGCACTTCTCTCATTGGACGTACACGTGCACTCGGTCACGTGACGATGTGCAACAAACGCCACTGGCCGTCCACCAGCCCTTTAACATACAGCGATACGTCATAAAACGTCGCGGATCACGTGACTGGCGTTCGCCATCTTAGCAGTTTCGACGACGGAGGCAAGAGGAGCAGATCGGTGACGTCGCGTCGCGGATCAAATAAACATCGAGTGCACGCAAGCGGGTCCTTGGCTTTTATACGAGTAACAACGACATATCGTGGGAGCTGTGTGTGCCGCCGCAGGTGTTCACCGGTACGCCGATTGTACGGTCAGTGTGAATTTAAATAAGCGCGGCAATTCGTGGCGCGAGACGATGCGTGTGTTGTGCAGCGATCGTCGTCCGGGGGGATGACGGTCCACGGTCGGCAGCTGTTCGACGGGCACGTCGTGGTCGTCACGGAGAAATGGCGGGAGGCTCCGCCAGTCCGCTTGCGGCCGTGGCGTGTGCGTGTATGGCAGTGGTGCGTGTATGATGTGCGAGAGAGAAAAGAGAGAGAGAGAGAGAGAGAGAGAGAAAAGTCATAGAGTAACGGAGCGAGTGCATGAGAAGGAGAGAAAGTTCATGCTTAAAGCGCGAATGAGAACTCGTGTGTGTCATATGTGGTCATTAATTGTATCAATTAATTTGTCAGATTTTGCGCTTTCCTCGCGGCACGCTTACAACGCGGAGCGGAGTGTACAATCAGGATCGTGACACATTTGTCAGGTGCCCTGCACGCTCTCGTCCCACCTTTCCACTCCTCCGTGCGAAAAACCCCTCTGCTTATGCGCTCACTCCTGTGCGAATGAACCTACGTATATGTACCAATCTCTTCGCTGCAAGGCCGTAATGACGGATATACTTACGGTAGTAAACAATACCGCGAGCCCAAAATGGAGCCTAGGTAAGGAGTTTTTAAGCAATGCCGTCAAAAGATCTCTCAATTTATTCGCGTAATTTTGCGTTATGTCAATTAATAAAATGACTAGATCATTTTTGCACACTTGCCAATTATAATCTTTCTTATTTATCTTTCTTATTTATAAAAACAAACATTATTTACATAAATTTAAAAAATAATATTTTTATCTAGAATCTACGTTTTTTCTTGATAAATCTTTCTAATCAAACATCTTCACCATGTTTCCCATAATTTCTTCTCTGTTTCTTTTACGTAGTGAAAAAATTTTAATTTAACAAAGTTGTAAAGTCTCTATATATATATTTTAAACTTTCGAATATAATAATATGCAATACAACAATAACATTATATAACAAGATATCTTTGTAGAGTTTACTGTAGGATCTTAGAATCTAGAACACTGGCCCCATTTGCATGCCCCTTTTTATGTTAGAAGACGTCACTAGCCAAAGAAACGTCGATGATATTTGAAGAACTTGTTTTCCAAAGGGCGGAAGTTAAATTTTTCTCCTCTAGAGATGAATAGCTTTTATATAATAAATAAAGATCGATAACTGAAAATTTTACTATTTATCAATTTATAATTATTAAAATTTGAACAATTTTTGTTTTAGACATTTTTAATTTACTTTCAAAAATGAAAAATTTGCGAGAAATGCATACCGATAATAAATTTTCAATAAACTTTATTTAAAAAAAATATTTTTACTCAAATATTTAACTTATTATATTTTTATTGTACTCAAACGATATTAATTGAGCAATGAGCTCATTAAAATTCGAAACATTAATTAATAAAATACAAATTAATTATAATTGCAAAACTGTGGCACATAACGAGCTTCTTCCGTATCCAATTATTGCTTAATTATAAAGGAATTATTATAATTATTTATAAAGAATATTTTTTATTTCGTCATTAGACTGAAAATTTTATATGTGCTGGTGTAAATTCTTTGTGCCAGTAAACTACGGTAAAAGTATAACAGCGATTGAATTACGCGTGTTAAACAGATATGGTGAAATCGTGAGAAACGCTCTTCCGACGCGTCTGTTTCCTTCTGTCTGTTGTTCCTTGAAGGATTACAAACGCCATACTTCTCTGCAGTTCTTTTCCCAAAGATATCGTTAATCTAAAATAAGGGGTAATTAAAATGACTAATTATTTGGCAGAAAGATTGTTATTTGTGGGAAGATTTATGGTCTTGCAGCGAGATGCACTTAATAGTTATATTGAGAACATTTTCCCGTTATGACAAAAAAACCACTTTATGTACAAGGTTTCATGCTTACTTAACGATTTTATTATTATTATTTTTATTACGGCATTGATTCTGCGTGTAAACTTGGCAACGCTGTGTGTACCGCCAGCGCATAGTAACGATTTCAACAGTTAAAAGCGTCATGCAGAGAAGACGAGAACCCGAAATTGATTTCAAATGAATGCTCGCCCTTATGTATACATATGCACAAACACACGTCGTTTTCTGCAAGTGTCACTCGCTGGGAAATGCGTGGAGCGCTATGCAATTTCAAGGGACATTTATTTTTTGGAAAACAAAATTTATAATTAATAAAAGGAATGATATTAATAATTAAGTTATGTCACAATGCTGGTAATTAATTTATTAAGTTATGTAAATTATTTAATTAATTATTAATTATCTTATTTTTTTTATATTTGAAAAACTTGCGATGGTTTGAGAGCGATGCTCTTTTCCAATCGATGATGAGAAGCGAGCTATTACTTAAGGACTAAAGAATGCAGAGCACCACACGTTTCCTTGCATCACGGCAAAATAGCATTGTGCTATAACGAAATTGATCTCTTCCCTATTGTTACGATATAATGGCCTGAAAATGTTAGATCTCGTTTAATTTTCTTTTTACTTTTAAGAATAATTGGAATAAAATGTATTATTTTTTAAATATATACCTAAATTTACTTACATTTTATATTTTTTTTTAAATAAATGTATCCGAATTCGTTCACAGACAAGTCGGGGAAGCGATTAATATAGAAATCGTGGAATAACAAACGTCTATATCTAGTAATTATATTATGTGTCTAACAATAATCGTTTTTAACCTTTAGAAACCGGCGAGTCGATTTTTGAATTCTGTACTAGTTTCAGCTTCTTCCTAGAATATCTCTTTGGCAAATATTTAAGAGTTCTATCGAAAATTGGAAAAATCATTAGAGCATTCACCCAGTTTCTATAGGTTAAAAACCACTTTTTTCACTCCTCTCTTATCACACTTTTCACAAAAGGAAAAAAAAACCAATTGTAAGACCTTAATGGCTTATCCAGACGGATACGCGTAGGCCGCACGCGCGACTATCCATTTGTGCTAAGCATAAAGGATGCCATATTGTCGGGCTCTTTATATTAGACGTGTGATTGGCCAATTTTTCTATGCTATATTGTGCGGCTATGCAATTCCGTCTAGATGGGGCTTTAAACGTGAAGGAACGATTTCGTATAAATTCTCGATACGGTCCTGGATAACTAAACTTCATAGCGTTTCCCATCCATTGCGCCTGCCCTCTAGTGTGCCAATCGTCAGTGATGAATGTTCACTATTTACAGGTTTTGTGAATAAACCGCGTAATTGTGTCCCGTCGGAGCGATTGTGTGTACTATTGGAATACAATACCGCTACAATTGATACCACACGCAGCAGCAGTGATCGAGCAACGTCGTCGTCATTGACGAGAATCACGTGTGCAACGATGTCGCGCCGTTTAACGCTCGCGTAGGCAACCCCGTCATCGCCGTCGCCGTCGCCGTTGCCGTCGTCGTAATCTTTTTGCTCTTCCTCTCTAGGTATGTATGCCAAACGTAGCGATCAGTTCTCTATGAAGAAACTGTCGACTTGCAAACGAGTAAACAAACGACGGGGACAGCGAGAGAAAGAGAAAGAGAAAATGCTAATTGTATTTCGAAAGGGGCAGAGGTCCAAATTATAACCTAAGTTTAATAAACCGGAGCCAAGCAGAATCCAGCTTATAATCAACTTATAATCAGCGATAGGTTTCCTTCGCGGTCGTGAATGAGAGGAGAATACGAAGAAATAAAATGCGCGCGATATGAATGGACTTGGACGATGATTCTCGCCGTTCGCTTCGGCCGCGTCGCTCACGTGCGTTATCGTCGTCTCGATGGGACGAGTGTGGCGTACGTGTGACCGCGACCTAAGAGACGCGCGGCCGCATCGCCGTGGACGAGCTTTTACGTTCTGACCGGTGTGTGCGTCTCTCTCTCTCTCTCTCTTTTTCCCTCCCCGCCTCTTCCTCTATCCATCCGTGGTCCTGCGCTCTCGAACGCCGCGTCGAGCGCATCGCGTAAGAGTGCATCTCCTCGGCGATTGTAAGTCATCTCGACGAGCCGCGAGTCGCGCGAATCTCCCGGTGCGAGGAGAACATCGCGAAACGGGATCGCGGTTTTGCTCGTCGGGAACGACGGTTCGCCGGAACCCGATCGCAGACGTTTGCGACACGATAAACACCGCTGGGAGTCGCCTCGACGAACGCGCTCGGGGAGTTGTCGGTTCTTTCGTATCGCGTATACTTCCTACATTTTTGCGCGCTGCGAAACAGTCCGGACTCGCGTGGAGAACCGAAGGGAAGGGTTGAAGTGCGATAGAAAAGTGCAAAGAGCGCGTGCGACGTGACAGTGCCCACGATGCCATTGTCGAATGAGGGTAGGCTGAATTTCGGCGATCGAGCTTGAGCGGCGTATAAGCAGGTTAGTGACGAAATGCTTCGGCGAAAACGTGCGCGTGTTCGTGTCGGTAAGCGCGGGAGTGACCCGAGAGAGGCGCGTCTACGGGCGCCGGAGTATGGGAGTTAGTCCCGGATCTTGGGCTATAACCTCCTCAAGCGGGGGTCGCGGCGAAGACGTCGGTCCGCAAGTTCACGTAGATCAACGAGAGACATTTCCTTCATTCCGGGAATCCTTCGCCGTTATTTCGGATTTAGGTTCGAATCAAACTCGAAGCTACCCTCGAAGCGTCGCGCGCGCGCGCGCGCGCGCTTTATAACCTTTGCACGTTGATGCCGTCGCAGCTGAAATCTTCACCGTCCCAATCCTTTCCCTCTCTCTCGATCCTTATCTCTCCCGGTGAGAGATGACAAGCCGTCGAGCCGCGACAAATCGACGGTCCTCGGTTTCCTTCCCTCGGCGACGCCGGGGTACGTCTCGAAAAGTTCGTGACGTCGCGGACGTCACGCTCGACGACGACGACGACGACGACGACGTACCCGCGGCCGACCGAACGCGATGTTTCGATAATTCGCAGAATTCGCTATCGTTGGGAGATGTATTCTTGGAGAATTGTCAATTGATTGACGTATCATCATCGTCCGCCCTTCGTCCAGCATGCACGACGCCTCATTAGGAAGCTTTGCGCGCGCGCGCGCGCAGACTGGCGTGCACACACATACACGTATACCCCGTGTACGCACGTCCTTTTCTGGTTGTAGATGTAGGAGGTTGGTAGATTGAGAGAGGAGAGAGGAGAGAGAGAGAGAAAGAGAGAGAGAGAGGCACGGCGCGCACGGAGGGTCGAGACCGACGACGACTGGCTGGCTGGTCGGCCGACTGATAGACAGAGTGACTGACTGGCGCTCGTAGACGCTAGCGGTGACCAGCGAGCGCTGGTGACTGACTGGTAGACGACGCTAACTGTTCCCGTGATCGGGGAAGGCTTTCCCGATCCAGGACATCTCGGATACCCGTACGTGCGCTCGTGCATCCGTCCTCCCGTCCGTCCGTTCGCTTGTTCGTCAGAGTTCGCGTGTGCGCGCGTGCAGCACGGCAAAGAACCGCGTACTCGCTCGCACGGCGAGAGAAGAGAGAGCGTTTTAGACACGAAGGCTTCGAGACGACGCTGCCGTTGTCGCGTTCACCGAAGGCGCCCAGGGCGCGACGCGCGCGCGACATCGCGATATCTCCGCGCTCGAGGGCGACTCGTCGGGAGTTTGTTGGTTATGGGAGCAAGAACGGACGCAAGTGCGGAATTCGCAGCGCCATTTTGAAAAATTCGGCCCCGCTAAAAATTCTCTCCCCCCTCGCACCCCCGCCAGCCAGCCCACCGCGAGGTAGAGAGCGTGCCGCGGAACGCTTCGCCTCGCCTTACGCCTCGCCGGAGTTTCAACAGTGCTGTCGTTAATTGTTTAGATCGGCTGCGCGGCGAACCGCGGTGGACTCATGGAAGGCACGTTGGAGGAGCCCGCTATTAAGGACACTTCTCGGAATAGTCCCGATAAGCACCTGAAAGGTAATCACGGCCGCTCGCTTTACGGCTACATTTCGAATTCGGCCTCTGAGCACCTGGCAGAGCCCGATACTCTTTAGGTGGTTTAAATTTTGATATTCTGCTTGTAGAACTTTAAATCATTGGGCTTTCTCGTCTTATCACAAAGTAATCTTGTAAATGACACGGTTCTGTTCTAAAATGTTGGATTATCTATTTCGGAAAAAGAATAGGTTTTAACGTTTCCTGTGTGATAAAATGTTTAATTTTTTTTTTATATATCTCCTAGAGATATTACACATATTGTATTTCATTTGTCGCCTACACAGAATGATATCTTATTAGAACGAATATTATGATGGACAGAGCATTCTGGTCTATAATTGATTTATTATAGATTACAGTTCGATAAATAATTGTACGTAACATTATTCTTTGTAGAAATATAGTTTATATTGGTGTCACATAATTTTTTGTTACGGCTTATAACTGATGTCTGTCTAGAGTATAAATTAAGAAAAATAAATTTTGAGTCATAATTAAGATACGTGTCATTTTTAACGATTCTGATTTATGTGACACATTTTACCGTTGATATACTATAATCACTACAACGATTTATTTGCATAATAAATAATGACCATCTATTAACATTTCATAACTACTTGCAGATATGATTATTCCAAATGGTGTCAATGGGAACTATAGTGCTGACAACGAAGAATATATGGATATCAGTGATGACACAGGCAAGGGTGTATCCAGAGAAATTATCACGGAAGAGGAGGAGGGTGATGAAGAAGATGAAGATGAAATGGATGATGAGGACGATCATGAGAGAGTAGCTGAAGGAGAAGAAGACAAGAACGAAGATAGTGGGCAGAACGAAGCAGTAGATAGTAGTAAGGAGGAAGGTGAAACGTTTGATGGGAAAAATGACTTTAAAGTATCGAAATCGTCCGAAGGTGTCAGTGAGACGAACAATTCTAGTGAAGTGTCTAAAACTGAATCCGAGTGTAAAAACACATCCTGTGAACCGATGGAAGTAGACGAACAGAGTAATAATTCTGATGTCGAGTGTCTTGACGAAACCATCACAGAAATACAACTGGATAATGACGATGTGTTCATCTCGAAAAAAACTGTTGAGAAGCAAGACGATATGTCGTCCAACTGCAGCTGCGACAGTGACATTGCCGACAGCAGTATGGAGAAGTCAGATGACAAGCTGTGCGAGGAGAACGGAAGCTGTGACAGTCCTGATATCGAGGAAATAACCGACAGCGCGAAAAATAATGGTCATAATGTGTCAATAGAACGTGTTAAAGACCCCTCTAAACAGAGGAAACCACGAAAACAACTAGATCTCAGTAACATCACGCCAAGAAGAAGCTCGCGTAATATTAAACGAACAAGCTACATAGAGAAAGAACTTGAGGAAGAGGTGGAGGACGATGGATCTGACATAGAAGAAATTAAGCCGGAAGACCCGTTGGCTGTTATCGACAGCAAAGATAAGGAGAATACGAAGCTGCTGAAGTCGCCAATAAAAAATAGTAAAACCACCATCGTCGTGAATGATACCAAGCGTCTGGTAGAAATTGCCGCCGGTAGCAAATCGATCAAGGGCGGAAAGAAGGAACCTACGTTAGTTATAATAGACACGAACTCCATTCTTTCAGGACGCGGTGGCGTACCTGTGAGTAACAGTAAACCTCATCATTCTGTCTCTAACTCCAGTCCGTTCTCGGTCGTCCCGATGGGTAGTATGACAACACAGTATTCCAATCTGAGGACGACCATCACGCCAGTACCCATGACTTCGAAAACGGCGCAACTGAGTCCGAAGACCAGTATGACCACGGTTACGCCGACCGTGGCGCCGGTCTTACCGTCGTTGACCGATGATATGTTCGTGGTCGAAGCTCCGTCGTTCATAGTACCTTACGTATACGAGAAGCCGCCTCTGAAACCGTTGAAAGAATTCGTCACTAAGTTGCAGAAGAGCATCGAGGAAAGGGAGAAGGAGGAGAAGCTGAAAAGAATCGCTGACGAGGGCAAGGACAATGACGAGCACGGAGAAGACTTTTTGGATATCGCTAAAAAGAACAATGACAAGTCCGAAGAGAGCGAAGGTGAGGGAAGAAGCAAGAAGGACGGGGACGACCAAGGTGGTGATAATTCAATAGATTTAACCGAGCACGGATTCAGCATAGGTGACAAGCACGAACCGAGGCAAGATGACAGAAATAAAATATCGTCAGCAGTACCGACGTACTTCGACCTGCCGTTGGGAAAGTTCTTTATGCAAATCGGGATAAATCTTGTTCAAGAATATGTGCAAACTGATCTCTTACGGACTCAAAAGCGTAAGCAAGGCAAGGGTAGCACATCGGCCGAGACTCAATTAGCTATAAATTCACTTATCAAGAATCTAGAGTTTAGTAAAGAAAATAACGAACCATTCCATTTAGAGATGAAGAAATGCGACTTCTGTAGTTTTAAAACGGAATCGACCTTAGTCATGCAGCATCATCTAGAGACCCCGCATATGCGCAATTACGTTTACAAGTGCAACTTCTGCCCGATGGAGGTTCGCAGTCCTCACGATATTCTCTATCACATGGAGGCGGAGCACAATACTCGCGGCAGATTGGAGCGCGGACCGGCCTTCCACCAGTGTCCGAATTGTCCGTTCGAGGACAACCAGAAGGGAAAGCTGACGCGGCATATTCTCGCTTGCACGAAGAAGTTCAGACCGGAAAGGAATCTGGAGCCCGCCGCGGACTGGGAGCCACCTGCGAAGATACCGAGATTAAATCGCGCGCGACCCATCGGCCCGACTAATCCGAACGCGCTCGCCGCCATGGCACTCAGTGCCAAAGGACCGCAGCCGCTGTTACCAAAATTACTCCCCGCGCCGATCACGGGCCGCGGAAGAGGGCGGCCGCCGATGCAGCCGAGATACTCCGACCTGAAGACCTTGCGGCCAGGTTCCACTACAATGCGACAAGGTAAGTTTTCCACAAACAAATACGAAAATTCTCTGTTGCGAAGAAATTTATACGTACTGAACGCTTAATGGACGCGCTGTATACTCATGTGAGTTGTATTTTAGACAATGTTGCAGGAATGATGTATCGTCCTACATCTTCCGGCTTACTGGTACCCACGTCATACCAGTTTGGTACTAACCAAATATTCCAGGTAAAAATAGCATTTATTTTTTATGGCTGTGTTTACGTACTCGCTGTGTGCATATACTAACAAATAAGCTTAGCGGCGAACACGACGGCGCAAAGTAAAATTTTATTTGGCCGGTGAAGTCAAAAATCGCTATTTCGCGACAATCGAAAGAAGAATATGGCGGAATAAGGCGAATTTTTTATCTAAAACATTCACTCTGCAACCGTAATCACATATCCATTCATGTTTTTAGATAGTGACTCCTCCCCTCCCCTCCCCCCCCCCCTCCCCACACACAGTAAGAATTATAATTTGTAGGCTGCTATACTTTTATATATTTCTTTATTCCCGAAATATATGCTTGTTTTACTAACATAAAGGGCGATGAAAAGTGTGATAAGTCATGCCCTTCTTAACGTTTAAGAAAGATGTATATGCTACATAAAAATATCAATGCTTGTATCTCTGAATTTTATTTATGATATTCAAATAATCAAGTCATATGTGTATATTACATATTTACGTTTTAATTGTTGAACTTTCTAGATAAGCATGCATATCATTATTTTATCTTAAATCCATGCAATCTTCAACGAAGCGTAGGCAAGTTAGGATAAACTAAAATGACATATATTTCTAAATGCTGTACAAAGTGAATAAAACAAAATAAGGGAACAAATTACTTTTTCATATTTACAGTACGTATATTAATGCTAAAAGAAGTTCTAAGTACGATTCATGTATAAAATCTATTTTCTCCAAAACTAAAATTCCACTACAATGATGGTAATAATATTTATCACTGCACACAGAAGTGCAAGTATTCCTAAAATTGTGATTAACACGTAGAATTCAAGACTTTATACAATCGTGATGAATACTCCAAATTGTACGAAATATTGTCGCATCGATGTTTAGAAGAAAACTTCTGTGTTAACTTTACGCAAAACTTGTACTGGCAATAATTAAATCGTACATGTCTCTTGTGTTATACTTGTTATTTAATAATATCGTGCTCTCTCTAATATTGCTCCAATATTAAAAAGAAAATTTACGTATCCGTTTTGTGTGACGATATCCGTGAATGTGTGTACGCGCAAACTATCAAATTTTAAATAGACTCAAAGCTTGAAGAACTAGTAAAAAAGATATATGGGTGGTGGCAGGTGGTGGGTGGCTCTGGGACTGTCATGTCGGCTGTCTCGGGGGTGAGTAGCAGTAGCGGCGGCAGTTCCGGTCAACCCACACCAATTGCACTTGTACCCAACGTAATCGACTCTCTGTCTAGGTTGTCCTCATCACAGGTAAATAAATATTGGAAAGTAACCAGGGAGAATAACTGATTTCGTGATATCTGCTCGCATGAGTGATGTGTTTTGCAGGTGCATATAAAAAAAAAGAAACAAGGCTTTTAACATTCTCCAAAATCTGATAGCGATCAAACGAATATATAGTTGCTTAGAAGTTTTAACACTCTGCGCTTCCCCACGTATCTATCTTTATTATTAATTAACGGTACATGCACACACATGTAACAATATTTAAAAAAGGTGTTCATATACATCTCATATTCTCAAATATTTGTTCTACATCTTATCGTATATATGTAAAAATACATGACTATATATTTACGATATGAACAAGTGCTAACTTTTTATCAGTTAGTATGCATATAATTTTACTAACAAAAACATAGGTATATGTCTGAATTCTAATAGAAATAATAAGTCGTAGAAAAAGAAATTAATCAATAAAATTGGGGAACAACATTTTATATGTTCAATAAATCATTTATTGAATTGTTCGAAATACAAAATTATATGATTCAGTTAGAGTCTAATGAAGGGAAACAATACGCACACATATACATTATGCGAAGACAAAGCAAAACTAACAAATATATACAATTTTAATGTAAAATGTAATTTTCAGGTGGATATTACTAATAAAAAATATTTTTCGAATTATGACTTATAAAAATAACACTATCGATTCAACGTATTGATGTACTGTCAAGTAACATTAGTATTCTATATTTTTCAGAACACAACAGCCAGTTCCAAAAATCCTACAGCGAAGCTATTAAGTCAGCCGAGTATATCCATCACACCATTGCCACGTACAACATCGCAAACTTCCGTTCCAGGATCAGGCACATCTTCAAAATCCGGGGGAAAAAATACGTTTGTTATATGCGAAATTTGTGATGGCTACATTAAGGTAAGTGTTAAATGCTTCTTTATCCTCACGTTTCAATGCTAAATGCACAATCATTGTGCACACTTCGAAGAAAGAAATGCGAAAATTTTATTTAATACACAAAATTGTACAACGGATAATTGTCAGCAAATTGCAAAACTTGCACGCTTCATAGAGTTTATCGATTTCTTTAAAACCTAACACTACACTAAATTCTGTCATATTTATTTTAGGATCTAGAACAATTACGAAATCACATGCAATGGATCCATAAAGTGAAAATACATCCAAAGATGATTTACAACAGACCACCATTAAACTGCCAGAAATGCCAATTCCGATTTTTCACAGATCAGGTAAATTTTTATACAACTGAATCGTAAACGAAAAATTGAAATATATTTTTGTTCAAAAATATATAGATTTATTTTCTAAAATGCAGTTATTGGTTTCTCTTCTGCAGCAATTAAAAAATATATGTCAATATTTTAATAGCGACATGTTTTGTACATCAGTTTTGATAAAATATAAATTTCAGATAATTCAATCACTTGCAATAAAGTCTATATATACACAAATTTTTCAGTAAGTTAATATTGTTAATATAACATTGTTATTTTTTTTTTCCAATAGGGTTTGGAAAGACACTTATTGGGATCTCATGGACTTGTCACATCCAGCATGCAAGAAGCAGCAAATAAAGGAAAAGACGCAGGCCGCTGTCCAGCTTGTGGCAGGGTAAGTTCATCTTTTGCGCAACAATTGGCAGCAAGTACTCTCATTTTCGAAAGTTCAAAAATAAAGATGTGTGCGGCGGATATCGCGTATTGAGAACTGTGAACGTTGATTTTTTTTTTTTAGGTATATCAATGGAAATTACTGAATCACGTTGCTCGAGATCACGGGATGACATTAAAACCAGCACATCTATCATATAAGTGTACAGTTTGCACTGCCACATTCGGAATGTACAAGCAATTCGAGAATCACGTGTACTCGGCGCACAGTGTCGTGGCGAAGAGAGTAATGGATAAGAAGAACGCACCCGCATCTCCGTCGTCGAGATCGAACGACTCGCTCTTGAAACCGCTGAAGATTAACGACGAGATCACGATTATTCCGCAACCGGCGAAACCCACAACCAGATCCGGTGCGATTCAAGGCAGAGGAAAATAGCAATGATGAGCTTGAGTGATACTCGTGTCTTGTCCGATCGAATTTCGCGTTACTCTTTGTGGTACTCTATACCGATCACTGTCAAGCGGTGATTTAACGTACCGTGTACATGTGTATACTATGCTTAAGAAGCGAATTGCAACACCTAAATGAGGGGGGGGAGGGGGGGGAGAAGGGGAAGATAAGAAACAAAAGAAAAGAAAAACTACGATTCTCGACGGCAGAAACCTAGTTGACTGCAAGTAATAATATTCCATCAATGATTATACCGATATATTTATTTAAGAATTTTTATTGTTGTTATCGGACCTACATAAAATAGACTGTAAAAACATTAAAGGGTGGCCTTCAGTCTGACTCCTTGGTTAACTCCTAGAGCTGCGTACTCCCGACCTATAAACGCCTATGTGTAACACGGACTCTCTCGCGCGAAATACCGAGCATATTTACATTCAATGTGACGATGCATGTTGTGACATGTCGCGCGCAATGCGAATTACTCTCTTAATAGCGAATTCTCTATAATGTATAAATTCTTTTTCTAAGATAAATATATTCGAATTTATTCTATTTTGTTATTATAAACGCTAACGCGACTTCGAAAAGACGGGGTTTGACTTTAAATCTCCGATTTAATAGAATGATAAACATCATGTTTACAGAGCAATTTCCGAATGATATATAATGCGATAAATTGTATTAATTGACCAGAGTGCCCTCGACTGTCTCGCGAATCTACAGTACACAGGTACTAACGACAAGTGTATACTAGCTACCGTGTGTTTCTTTGGATCGTATGCATATTATACTTTCATTTCGCCATCATATGTTTTTTTAATTAACAGTTAGTGAAATTATCGTCATACCCCTTATTTATGATATTTCATGAAGCTGTGTGTATAAAGTAATTTATACTTTACACACACAAAAAGGAAGCTTTTTTGTTTTTTTAATCGGATTTGTAAATTGTACCTATTATTATAAGTTTGACATTTTAGTTACGTACACTGTAATAAAAGCAGAAGACATCCAATTTAATTTCTTGCGCTCTTATTAAAAAAAAAAACAACAAAAATGTACATTAACATAGAATATAATATAAAAAAAATATATCAATAAAATAGGATGGCACACACTCGTGTATACATTTTTTCTGATAAACGTGGATATAAAACGGAGCATTGATCCTGTTAGCACACAGCGCGACGTACATCTATAACATTTATGTATGTATATATATAATATATAACATTCACGATATTATATATATAAATATGTAAAATTATAATAGCATAGCAATAGTGTAGTACAAGAAGAGACTATTCATTTCATTTTCTTCTTGTATGTACACTCCGAATCGATTATAGGATTACATGAATATGTAGATAGTCATTAAAAGAAGTAACGGGTTTAATTTAGTAATTTCAATTTGTCCCAATAATTTTTGTACGTTATTGTAGGATATCATTTTAGAGGAAACCGTAATCAGCGAAGAATATGAGATGGTGCATTTTTTTGCACTGTATGGCTGTATTATTTAATTCTGCTATCTTGCCAAACGCTTACGGCAAGCCATGTTGGTAAAATTAAGAAACAGACGTAATTACAGAAATATATAGTTTATTGTAATAATTTGTACAATATTATATGATTACAAAAATAAAGTGTACCAACATTGAACTAAAATTCTTGCAGGTATGCGTTTCACTCCGAAACCCATCGTAATTCAGCAGAGAGATCGACAAATTTCGCCTAAGCAAAACAGCACGATCTAAGAATATATTTCATTGCTTCACATTGCTTTGTTCCCTTCATTTTACAAGGTATGCGAAAAGTTTATAACATACATGTATTTAGAAATATTATTTTTTATTTTTTACCAAGTGCTCGAAATATACATATATGTTAGTCATAATATTTGAACAACTTTTATAAAATAAAATGGCTCAAGAGTCGACATATGCTATTGCTTGTAAAAAAAAAAGAAATATATAAAATAAACGAGAAATATTTAACGGAAAATAAGAGAAAAAATATTTTGAAAAAGTGATTTGATCATGTCATTGTGATAATGATTTGATTGATAAATATTTTTTATTTAATATTCTGCGATTTTGATCTCATTTTTAATTATTAATTTATATATTTTGTTTCCCCACACAATTATATAGAAGAATAATATTCACATCACTAATTTAATAAAATTCGATATTTAATATTGCTAGATTCAAATTATTAAATTTACGTTTATTATAAAGACTATTAGTTTCAGTTTGAAGAAATGAATAATTACACAATTATACATTTTTTCGTAGAATGATATATATTTTATCATGTACACATGTCTCCAATTGTAAATTTAATACTCAAAGTGGAAATCAAAATAAGATTGATCAAAATTGTTAATACGTATATATCCGTCTTCTCCACCTGTCGAGTAACTGCGACCGTTGGGATGAAAAGCGAGAGAATTAATGGGACCAAAGTGCCCTTTCAAACGTGCAAATTCTTCTTCGAATACTAGATGGAAGAATCGTGAATCAAATTTGCCTTGTCGTGCGGACGTTGTAGTAACATCCATGGCATCTTGACCTCCACCAAGAACCACCTGGAAAAATGTTATTTGATAAATATATTTGCTACTTTTCCACTAATTGCAATATTATTTTTATGCTCTATTAATATATATTCTTTTTTGTATGACAATTTGAAACACAAAACTTACATGATCAAAAATTGGTGATATTGTAGCTGAATTTACAGGTCTTTCCGTTTTGTACGTCTTCAGTAGCACTAAGGATTCACTGTCGAAAAGTTTTGCTGTGTGATCTTTGGACGCAGTCACAAACATTGTACCTTCCTTGTTGAATTGCATATCGTTTATTTGAGATTTGTGACCTTTGACGCTGGACAACTTCTTTCCCGTCTGTAAGTATTACAAATATTGCTTGCTACTTCATACTTAAAAAATATCATTGCTATGACTTGATACAAAGATACTCACCCTAACATCCCAGAGCTTAATTTCACCGTCTTCGTGGCCTGTAATAATGGTCTCATCCATTGCGCCCCATAATATAGCAGAGATTCTAGGACCATTGACCGAGATCCTAGAAATTGCATCCTCTTGCGACAATGTAGAATCAACATTTCTTACATCCATAATAAACATTTCGCACTGATGACCCAAAGCTTTGTCAGTGGAGAACACAGCGAGATTTGCTGAATAACTAAACCCGCACGTTCTCACAGAACTGTTTGTGTGCAATTGGCCTATTTCTTTGCCTAAACAATATCATGGAAAGCCATGATTGTGATTAAAAATTGTGTATGGATTGAATGTATCAATATTCTTGTGAACTTGATATACAAACCAGTTTGACAATCCCAGACTCGCAGTGTATTGTCACCACTACCTGATAATAAGCGTGTGGTGTCCCAAGTAACATCGATGCACCATACAGAACCATTGTGACCATTAAATGTCCCAAGACGTTCCCCATTCAGCGCATACCAAACGTTAGGTTGTTTGTCTTTACTCGCAGAGAACAACAAATCTCCTTCTCTATTATATTTAATTTTAGTGGTGGCACGCTCGTGCCCGTGTAACATCAAAGGTTTCTAAAAGAAATAATTCTTCTTAGTTATTTGAAAAGAAGATTGATCGCTGCTAGTTTCTTTGAGGTTACATTGTCACATGTTTTAAAAGATTAAACACATATTCTAATACAGGAAAAGTAATACTGTGCAATAAAACAAGACTGTAAGGCAATTAACCATTTCGTGTTATTTTCGATAAATTCCTTATTAATCGACAAATTGCATTCCTTTTTGACACAAGCACACGATCCTTCACCCGCTGAAAAAGATCACGAAGCATGCAAGACACATAATGGAGAAAATTTTAGCTGCAACACACAGCATGCAGAACGCGTTTAAGCTAAGGGCGGTATTTCATGTGTCACGCAAGTTTATTGAAAATGACGATGGAAACCATTTCAAAATTTTGAGCACTTTGATATTTTGCTCAAACCGAATAAGATATAATTAAGAATCGTATAACCATTTCATCAAAGCTAAAAACTTTCCATCCTCTTGTTTTATCTTCTTAAAGTTAACTAATGTTAATTAAATTATAAAAATTAATCAGAAGTAAAGCGTTAATTAAATATTTATCAAGATCCGAATTTCTATCTTCCGATATGCGTAAATCGAAGAAATATGCAATGTCTTCTTTTTCGCCAGTTCAATAAGAACGAGACAGAAAAATAGCCAAAGCGTAGCGTGAAAGAAACGCAATTCTCGATCGTGTACATTATTCATGGTTATTTCCTTCCATTTACGGTTTACACGGAGCCGCGTCTTCATTCTAGCATCATTGTTCTCAGTTGCGTGTCGATGTACATCGATGTTTTTGTAGAGTTTTGCGAAAAGCAGCGGAGAGTCAAGTATGGTTAAAACGAGTCGGAGCTAATCAAACTTAATATTTCGTAACAAACATTAAGTGTATCTGAAACGTATCGCGATGTAGTCCTATAGTGAATTCAGGTGAACACAAACTGAATTTATTGATTTCAGTCACGTATTTTTCTCCACGCATATCGTCCGCTCTTATCAAAATATGTATACATCTCAATAGCGTCTCGACCAATCTGCTATTTTTTTAAATTTTATTTTCGAGCTTATCATCAAATTTTATATATATATATATATATATATACAATATATATGTGTGTGAGATTAAGTGTATGAGATTTTATCAAAATCTTTTATTCAATTTAGAAAACTATTGTGTAAGATGAAGGGTGAATAGCCGCGTGGCAAAATGTCTCACATTGAATCATGCAAAGTTCGACAGCGAAATGAATTAGAAGCTTTAGAGGTATTACAATATATTGCATAAATATACACCATAAGTTTGTAGCCTTTAAATTGTGGTATATTTTTTTCCAACAATTTTATGTTACTTTCTATGTAGTCTATTTTTGGGAATGAATTACGTGATCTAAGGAAGAACAAGAATAAAAAGAAATGGCAACCCCTGGATGTTGTTGTTACATTGACACCGCAAAAAGGTGGATCGGGACCAGCGGAAATCCATGCACAGATAGATTTGCGTATTACATGCAATGACAAATATCCCAATGAGTAAGTACTCGATTCTTGTGTCTCATAAGTTCTTAACGTTTTATATTTTTAAATCCATATTATATAATCTATTCATATTTTAGGGTACCAACAATTCAACTACAAGACAGCAGAGGTTTATCTCATCAACAGGTCGCAGTTTTATCATCAGAGCTTGAAAATTTGGCAACAAAACTAAAAGGCGAGGTTATGATTTTTGAACTTAGTCAACATGTCCAGAAGTACTTACACGAACATAACAAACCAGGTTACAGCAGTTTTTATGAAGAAATGGTATCGAGACATCAGGAGAGGATACAATATGAGATGCAAGAGAAGCAAATGAAGGAAGATAAGGAGAGACAGGTTTGAATCTATATTTTTATTTAGTTCCATTGATCTGCATTATAGCAAAACATGATTATTGACATTTTACCAGGTGCTGCAAGATGCTATACAGAAGCGCCAGGAAGCTCTAAAAGCGGAGAAACGTAACCGAAAAGAAACAATTCGATCGACTACAGATTCCGAAACCATCTTCAGATCTATACCATCATCTCCGCACGAGCGAGGAGTGAATCGTTTTAGACGTAGATGCGCTAGCACATCTGAAAATTTGGACGGGTCATTGTGTGAGCACAGAGGTACCAAACTCGTACACTTCGACAGTAATAAAGGTGAAAGGCAAGTGCACTGTGGAAAATGCTTGGGTCACAGTCCAAAGGGTTCCGTGGTGTACGGTGGCGTAGATATGATCACCGGAGAGTTATTGGCTATCACGGAATGGACCATAAAATGCGCAACGGCGAATGATTCCGAAGCTATCGATATACACCTCGCCATGAAGGCAATCGCCAGCTTAGAGCAAGAGCTTAATCATTTATACAAATTGCATCATCCGAATCTTGTACATTATTTAAATATGAAATATATAAATGATGTACAAAATAACAATATAGTAATTTCTATACTTCAAGAGTTTGTGGTATGTAAATATACATCTGTTGCTTTGAAGTAATTTATACTTTACGGGGCTAAGAACAGTTTTCATGTTTACAATTTCGATTGTATGTAAAAGTAGGTCGGAACCACATGCTCGTCTTTTTTGGATAACATTCCAGTTGATATTGAGGTATTGAGGTACTTGGCAACTGGTATACTTGAAGCGCTACGATACCTCCACGAAAACGATGTGGTGCACAAAGATTTGCGTGAAACCAGCATTTACATAGATCGCATGGGTGTTGTAAGATTATCCGATTACTCTTTAGATAAGAGATTGTCAGACATGTATCATTCGAACTCCTTAGCAAAGACTGAACATGATTTTCCAACAATTCAAGGCCGAGGAGGCAAAAGGGCAGACATATACAGATATGGAATATTGTTGCTTACATTTTTGAAAAAACCTGTCGCATCCGAAGACGAGATTGACCTAACGACAATTTCGCAGGTAAATTTTCCTTGCGCAGCGTGTACAATCTTTTGATAAAAGCGCAACCGTAATTCACGCACATTCTGAATTCATTTCTGTTTTCAGTTTCACTTAAGAGACTTTATCTCAAAGTGTCTCGACGATGAGAGAACGCGTTGGTCCGCGGAACAATTACAGCAACATAGTTTCATAAGAACACCCTTAGAGCGCGGTTTGTCGCCCTCGTCGCCGGTCCGCGATGTGCAGGAAAACAATTTGGAGCCCGAGGAACCGGATAGCGATATTCAAGTGCATTTGCCGTTGATGGGCAGACAATCGCGAATACAGAATGAATTTGAAATTTTAAAATGGCTGGGGAAAGGAGCCTTCGGCGATGTTCTGAAAGTGAGAAATAAATTAGACGGTGGGATCTACGCTATCAAGCGCATAAAATTAAATCCAAAGAACAAACAGCTGAACAAGAAGATTACGCGGGAAGTGAAATTGCTCTCCAGAATGAATCATGAGAATGTGGTGCGTTATTATAATTCGTGGATCGAAAGTGCTACTTTGGACGATTCTGTCAGGAGCAGTGAATTAACGCCGATCACCACATCTTCTGATAGAACGGCCACCACACAGGACAAAATAGACATAGTCAATGTAAGTGTATCGTTTATGAAAATATTGTTTATTGAAAAAACTATAATAATTCCATCAGACAGATTTATAGTTAAACAGTTTAGATAAAGATTTCTAATTAAAATTAATTATTGTTAATGTTTATATAATATGTATTTTTAGCAATTGGAAAATGATGAGATAGAAAAATTTGCCCCACCTTTACGGGATGTCGAGTGGAATATATCGTATGAATCTCGAGCAAATGTAGCTGATAGTGACGATGATAACAGTGACGCCTCGACTGACTCTGACAGCGAAGAACATTGCGCATTTTTGTAAGTCAACTTTCTTCTAAATATCAGATAATTGTACAATAAATATTTCAATTTAATTTGTATGCGTTATATGATTTTATTTGCAAAGAAAAACAAAATACATGTCACAAAAGTGCTTGATAGAACTAATATAAATTATATCTTTCAGAATGCGAACTTTATTACGAATCGAGTCTTCCGATAATATCGAATTTGAGAGAGACGGCATATCACAAAAGTCCGCGATGACTGACATTTCAAATAACGACGCTAAGGACTCTGAAACAACTAGCGAAGACACGGTTGTGAAAGAAATACAGTACATGTACATACAAATGGAATTCTGCGAGAAAAGCACACTGAGGACTGCCATCGACAACGGTTTGTACGAAGACGAGGAACGTGTCTGGAGATTATTTCGAGAAATCGTGGAAGGTTTGGCACACATTCATCAGCAGGGTATGATACACAGAGATTTGAAGCCTGTGAACATCTTTCTCGACAGTAACGATCACGTGAAGATAGGAGACTTCGGTTTAGCGACGACCAATATATTGTCTACGCTAGTTCAAACCACTAATGCTGACAAAGAGTCACAATTTGAGAAAGGTAAAGTGTATATATATATATTATAATAATATAAATGAATCAACTGTATACTCCGCGATTTGCACTCAGGAGGAAGTTACGATGTGGAAGAATTGGGCTCTCTCACTGGTCAAGTCGGCACAGCCTTGTACGTCGCCCCCGAACTGTCCGCGAAAACTGCCAAAGCAATTTACAATCAAAAAGTAGATATCTACAGCTTAGGAATTATTTTCTTCGAAATGACGTACAAGCCTCTGACCACCGGAATGGAGCGCGTGAAGATTCTGTTAAATTTGCGCTCCAAAGACATCATCTTCCCTTCCGACGTGGTGGAAACAGATATGCCGCATCAAGTTCACATCTTACAGTAGGAGATTCAATTCGATAATACTAGACATATGTCACGTCATTCTGAATTACACTGTGAAGTAACGAGCTCTCTTTATTCTCCGTCAGCTGGCTGCTGAACCATGATCCGAGTCAACGTCCTACCGCGCAAGAATTGCTTTCCTCCGAGTACTTGCCGCCGCCTCAGCTGGAAGAGACGGAGTTGCAAGAAATGGTGCGCCATACGTTATCCAATACTCAAAGTAAAGCGTACAAGTATTTAGTGGCATCGTGCTTCACGCAAGACGTCACGCCGGCGGAGGATATTACTTACGACATGAATTTGCCCGCCAGAGGAACGCCGAATGTCCTTTCCTCGAAGAAGCAGTTTCTGCAGGAAAGCGTGAAGCAAAAGATCGTCGAGATATTTCAAAAACACGGCGGCATACATCTCGCGACTCCGTTGCTAATGCCGAAGTCCATTCAGCACTCCAACTTCACCGAGTCTAATGTGAAACTGATGACACGAACGGGTAGTGTTGTTTCCATACCGCACGATCTTCGCACTCCTTTCGCTCGGTACATTATATGGAATAACATCTCGCATATTCGGAGATATGCCGTCGAACGTGTCTTCAGAGACAAAAAGGTGCGTATATTAAAATAATACATTAAATAATTTTCGCGAATGACACAAATTTAAAACTCAATATTTGAGAAAATGCATTATCATTATATGAAATAAATTATATTTGCGAATTTTATTTTTAAGCATCGCGGACCGGAAGCGTTGATTCATATCTTTTGAATGGTTTTGCGGCGTTATCAGATAAAATATTGCAACTAATAATAGACTTACATTTTTTAATTAATTTAAAAATGCATGAAATAAGATTCTTATACAATTGCGGTCCGCAATGTGTTAATGCAATGAAACTAATAATGATCACGAACTGACGAATTTACGGTATTATTTGCAGGCTCGAGGATTTCATCCAAGAGAATTGTACGAATGTGCTTTCGACATCATCAGTCCTATAGACAACAATTTGATGACCGAGGCTGAACTGATTTTCATTATATGGGAGATTTTTAACGAGTTGCCGCAGATCCGAGAATACAATTTCATAGTGCGATTGAATCACACGTCGCTGTTGCAGGCTGTACTAATGTACTGCGGCGTGGAGAAGGACAAGTACCAGGACATATATTCGATACTGCAGGACGCCCGCGACGGGAAGCTGACGAAATTCCAAGTCCAAACGCACTTGATAAGTTTATGCCTTACGGATCAAGCTATGGACACGCTTTTCAACTTGCTCGAAACGGAGAGCTCCGTTGCGAAAATCGCCAGTGTCTTAAAGACAATAACGAAGAGGAAAGGAGATACCGCGGCTCTAGCCAAAGAGGGTTTGAAAGATATAGAAACTGTAATATCTTACGTGGAAGGTTTAGGTGTTAAGGTAATATTGTAGCGCGCAAACGGTGCTTTTACGATTCCCGTAAACTGTCAGTAATCGTTCTTTCTTCTCTTCGCAGTGGCCTATTACTGTCGTACCTTTATTAACGTATAACGTACAACAATACAGCGGTGTGATATATCAAATAACCTGCGAGCTGAAGCACAGACGAAGACGGGGCGGTCAGGATGTCATAGCCGCGGGTGGCCGATACGACCAAATGCTGATGTCATTTAGGAGAGTTCTAGAGCGCACTGGAATGGCGAGTAAGGAGATAAAACAGTACGGCGCCGGTATCAGCATATCGTTGGACAAGTTGGTATCCGTCGTCACCGAAGCGTGCGAGAACCTGAATGGCGAGAACAAGTGCGGCATCGATGTGGCTGTGTGGTGCGAGGCGAGCCCCGGGAGCGAAGGAAGGAGGGAAAAAGAAATGATTAATGTATTACACGAAATCTGGTCATTAGGATTGAAGATTACGATATTAGATCTGTGCACTATGGAGGAAATATTAGAACATTGCCGAGAGAATTCTATAAGTCATATAGTATTGTTAAGAAACGGTACTCTAAAAGTACAAACGTGGGAGAGAGATAGATTTCAGGAGAAAAAGTGGAATACAATACAGGATATTGTAGAGTATTTGCAACGACAGTCGGAAACCGCGCTGCCGATATTGAATCGTTCCGAAAGCAAGACGAATTCGACTGACATGTCGGCGGCGCCGAGCAATCCGGTTAATATTAATGTCAATTTCATTCTCTCCGAACGGGACAAGGTGTCCGGAAGTGGTAGGAGAAGCTTCAAGAATACCATACTGGCACAAACGTCGTCCTATTTGCAGAGAATATCTCATAAAGTTCCTGTGGAGGTTTTTGCAGTCTTTTTGGAAATGTCCGTCATAAAGACATTAATGAGTTTTCTAGAAATTGACGAGGAGGAGCAGGTCTTTCAGAAAAGTATTCAAATCGTAATAGACAAGTAAGTGTACATCGAATTATTCCGCTGTGCAAACAAGTCGAGATACACTAGTAATAGTAATATTAAATATATCATTTTTTTTTACAGACACCCGCGGCACAAAAAGTACATCAAACAGATATGCGAGGAAATGAGAGAATTACGAAATGAAAAGTCAAGGCCCGTCGAGGTACTTTATAGTTTAATAGACAGTGGATACATGACTCTACTATAAGTGATATTTAATGAAGAATATATATTTTCGTAATCGTGCGAAATCGATGCTTTGAGTGATATATATTATTAGATAATCAACATATAAGATTAGATACTTAAGATTTTTTGTACTGCATTATATTTGTAAGTATTAATATTTAATAAAAAAAAAAAAACAAGACTAAAAGAGCTTTAAATAAATTTTTTAATATTTTTAGTTGCTTCAATCTTCATTGTAAGTTAAAAATATATTCAGAAAAAGATTTTAAAAGAAGACATCTAAAATTAAACTTGTGGTTTTAATAGAATTCATTTTTTTCAGACTTTTTCTCGTTTGAGTTGTACAACGAATATTAATATGGCGACTATGACAGTCTGTTGCGTCTTGTGCAAACATTTTATCTTTTATCCACTTTTTATCGTCACATTTTCAATATTCAATTTTAGAGTCATTTGTTTCGGCTTATATTATTTCAAATGTCTCCTAGAATATCTATTTTAGAACACAAATCTGTAAAATAAAAATGACATTGAGACGAGACGCGTTATTTGAAGTTAGTGATTTATCGTTCGGTTCGTCGTTACAACCAACAATATAGATTGCAGTAATATTTTAACGATTATACAAGCTCTCCAGGTATTAAAATTACAAAACGACAGGAGCAAAAGGAGCGAAACCGCTAGATTTCGGTGCGAATGAACTTGCGTTACAAAAACCATGAATTACATAATAGACAAACGTTTCAACCTGTCATCAGGCTATCCTCAAGTAAATAAATTAAGTATGAAAAATTTGTTGCAAGATCAATGAAAATTGTTTAACGTATTAAAACTGAAATAAAGCTGAAAAACACAATCCTTATATATCGATATTGAAATCTAGCGGCTCCTTTTGCAGCATTTTATAATTTTACTATCAGCCGAGCCTTGTCATTTTTAATTTCAATCCAGATATTATTTTCATCCTAATTGACTTTGTCAATTTCGTGTTTTTGTTAATGAAACAACGTGCATCGCTTCCAGCTTAAATCAATTACCCGCAGCGCAACCCTCCTCGAATCAATACGAGTTTGAAATATATATAACGAAACGATCACGATGCGCGGGGACTCGCGTGTCCACTTGGAGTTCTAACTTTAGAAACGGCCTGTCCAAGTAATACCCCACCACGTTTGTCTTGCACTTAAATTTAATCAGGAATCGCTAAGGTATCGCGAACTTAAATGAGGAGTTATTTTTAAATGACAATATGTTGCTTTAGCGGATTAAGGGCAATCTGTGTCATTCGCTGTAACGGAATACTGACGAGCGAATCGAGAATGATTCACTCTGTACGATTGCTGTCAGGATATGACATGCCGACGGTGGGCCTGGGAACGTGGCAGGTAACGAAACAGAATTGAGAAACATCAGAATATTACGTTTTCTTAAACAACGACGCGTACAAGGCGCCGCACGTGCCATCGGTCGCACATTTCTCCTGCCACTCAATCACGTGCCGATTGTTGCTGAGAAGTGAAAACTGTTTCAGGCCAAACCAGAAGAAATCGAAAATGCTGTAAGCGCTGCTTTAGAATGTGGCTACAGGCACATCGATACAGCAACGAATTACAACAACGAAGATGCAATTGGCAGAGCTCTAAAGAAGTGGTTTGAGAAAGGTGGTGCTAGAGAAGAAATTTTCATCACGACCAAGGTAATTGTGTATCACAATGAATAAAATCGAATGCGGTAAATAGCTGCTGCAGCTAATAATTTGATCACAATGCTACTCGCATTCTGTTAAACGCACTTAACAAATTTTACTTTGATACTTTCAGCTACCCCACTTCGGCAATCGTCCATCAGACGTAGAAAAGTTCATTAACCTGTCGTTGGAGAGGCTTGGATTGGACTACTTAGATATGTACCTAATTCACATGCCTTTTGCATTTAAGTTGGACGAAAAAACGCTCACTGCGGCAACCCACGAAGACGGAAGTTACATACTCGATTTTGACACGAATCCCCTTGCAGTGTGGAAGGTTTGGAAAATCAATTTTGCACCCGAGATATCGCTGTAAGTTAGAGTTCACTGAAGGACCGAAATTGTTTCGCAGGAAATGGAGAAGCAAGTTAAATCAGGACGCGCCAGATCTATCGGTTTAAGCAACTTCAACGAAGAGCAAATTACGGCCATTTGGGAAAGCGCACAAGTGAAACCAAGCAATCTGCAGGTAAACAGTGTGGGTTCAGATGACACGATATCGTCGATGATAAGCACATCAGAAATGACCAAATGAATGTAATTGTTAAAGTGAATTTCGTGTCACTCAGGTGGAGTTGCACGCGTACATGCAGCAGAAATCAATTCGAGAATTGTGCAAAAAGTACAATATCATTGTGACGGCTTACAGCCCGCTGGGCTCTCCAGCCGCAAAGACGCATTTCCGAACCAAATATAACTACGATTTAGACACATTTCCCGATTTATTAAATCATCCGATCATTCTGGAAATTGCCACGAGGCATAAAAAGACAACGGCGCAAGTCCTGCTGCGTTATTTGCTGCAACTGGGAATCGTAATCATTCCGAAGAGTTCATCGTCGGAAAGAATTAAATTGAATATCGATTTGTTCGATTTTGCCTTAACAGAGGAAGACATGACACTGTTGAGTGACTTAGACAAAGATGTTCACGGGAGAATCTTCAATTTCTTATTTTTTAAAGGGTAAGCATATTTTCGATGCTGTCGCAAATGTTTCAGAACCAATATTCTGTAATATAAAAATATCACATATATTTTATTTAAAAAACTTGTATTTAAATTAGTAATTGTACAGTATAAATTTAATACCAACTCTTTAAAATATTTCTATTCTGCATAGCTAAAAATATTTTGTATAAAACATTCTCTGTTGCAGGGTCCAAGATCATCCACATTATCCATTTAAAAGCGAACTTCCATAATTGTAAATTAACACGCGCGTCACACTAGTTTGTATTGAAATAGTTTGAGAAAGAATCGCTATGCAAAACGAGCACAATAATAATACTTACATTATACAAATTATGTAATTTATAAATTGAAGACTGGAGGTTTTTATTACTCTTCAATGTAATCTGTACAACATTTTACGTTGCAAACGATGCTGAAGCTCACCGCGGCGTATCATTGTATGTATCACCTTGTAAATAGCGCGCTCCGGGAACGATTGCTTCAGGAAGTCCTTCACTATATTGTATTCGGATACTTGATGTCCAATTGGGAATCTACTTTTCAATTGTTTTTCAATGCGAGACAATATCTCGTGGTCCTCTTCCGAGGTGAATCCTTCTGCCCCTGATAACAGATTACAATACGTTATACATCTCCGTGTGCAATGTGTTTATTATTTTAAGCTACGTCAAATATAATTTATTAGCAATCGGTTTGGAATATTTATCGGCATAAATATTTAAACTGTAACTACTTTAATTCTTCACATATGACATTTAAAGCTTTTCGAATAACTCGAGAAAAAGGTAGCGATAATTTTTACTCGAATTTAAACAATAATAAAAGCATGATGAAAGTAAGTTATATTTTTATCAATTTGTAGCTTACCTGCCAACGATCCAGACATTGCAGCTTCCAGCGTGGATACTTGGAACAGCCTTAAGGCCTCGTTAACGTGGACGTCAGTGGCGAATGGTTGCATCTGCATTTTTGCCAGAGCTTCGGACATTCGTATAATAGCTTCAAGCTGCCGAACTGTTATCGGTATGGACAATCTTTTTTCGGAATCCTTCTCGTGTTCTCGCGTACCACTTCGCATCATTACGTAACGATTTTTCAACTTGTCTCCCGCCTCCACATTGAGTCTCGGACCGCAACGGCTGTTGTAAGATGAAAACGTGTTAGCGTTTTGAAATTCGTACATTTTATGCGGCAAACTTACGTTCTACAATAGCTGATATATTTCTTGAGAATGTGCACAGGGATTTCTCCTTCCATCGATTGTTCTGTGATCTGGCCGGCGTTACAATGGATGTTCATAATGTGCTTAGCCAGGGTCACGTCTCTGTTGTGTTCGTGTTCGTCTTTAACGATGAATATCATATCGAAACGCGACAGAATCGTCGGCATGAAATCTATATTCTCATCTCCCTTTATGTCGTCCCAACGGCCGAACACCGAGTTTGCCGCCGCTAACACGGAGCACCGTGTATTCAGAGTTGTCGTTATTCCCGCTTTCGCTATAGAGATCGTCTGTTGCTCCATAGCTTCGTGGATCGCCACTCTGTCATCCTCCTTCATTTTATCGAACTCGTCTATGCAGACGACTCCACCGTCCGCGAGGACCATCGCGCCGCCTTCCATGACAAAATTCCTCTGAGGACAATAATCTTTTCTCATCACATTGAAATATGAAAAATATCTCTTAGAATGGAAATACAACTTACGGATACAGGATCCCTCGTTACGGATGCTGTCAGACCGGCTGCTGAACTACCTTTTCCCGATGTGTAAACAGCTATGGGCGCAACTTTCTCGACAAATTTCAACAGCTGCGATTTGGCGGTGCCTGGATCGCCCAGCATTAAGATGTTAATGTCGCCTCTCCTACACAGACCATCCGGCATCAGTTTTCTGGATCCGCCGAATAACAAGCACGCAATAGCTTTCTTGATGTCCACTACGCCAAAAATACTAGGAGCTATGCTCTTCGCAATTCTATTATATAGATTAGGATCTGTCGCCAGACGAGTGAAGATATCTTCCTCCTCGGATGTAACAGGTGGCTGAGTTCCTGCACAGGAAACACAAAAGAACACGTGCGAACTGATAATTGAGATTCTTTATCCAAAATGTTTCGTCACACTGACATGTCCATACCAATATTCGCATTTTCTCCGTCCACAGAAATACCGAGAACTCGAATGTACGGAGCTCGAACGCCCACTAATGATTTCTCCCTGCTCGCACCCTTGCCAGTTGTTTTAGCCACCTTTTTAATGGAATATATTCCAAGAATCAGAACTCTATTGCCAGGCACAACTCTGTCGCATAAATAACGATCGCAGTACAGTTGCAAGTGCCTGGGCATTTCACCCTGTGGTATGTGATCTGGCAATTCCTGAAGCTTCAACACTTGAAAGTCCACACAGTGGCATTTGTCCGGCATTATGAAGAACGGATCCAAGGGACATTTCGGCCGACCCGCTTGTTCCCTGATAATAAAGAAAAATGATTTGTATTGCATTCCAAAGCGATATATACAATCGAATCTCTTGGAAAAAACTTACGTAGAACACTTCCTGGGTAGTGCGTATCCTTCCAAACCAGGCTTGATAGAAATATTGACTTGGGTTACTTTGCAAGAGCGACACTGTATCGCAATTTTTGTCGCCTTTGCTCTAATGCCAGATGAAGAAATAATTATACCAGGAATCTTAACAAGCTTGGAAACGATATCTGGCTGCAAAAATGAATCAAATATATAATTAAATACAGATATCTAAATAAATATTCTTTATATCTTAGACAATATACACATTTTTGCCTGAATATGTGGCAACAAAACTTCATGCAAATTTGTGAATCTCATCATGTCTACATTGCAAGAATTATGGACTTTACCTTCATGCCTCTCAAGAGACTTGGGTGAGCGTCTGAACACAATAGCACTTGAATATCTTCGATCTTTTCCTCGCCCTCAGGCCGAGGTGCTGTGAGTTCATCTGCGACATCTCTTGCGGCTTCTTCCAGAACAGATAAATATTCTGTCGGAAGCTTTTGAATTTTCTCAGCGAGAGACTCGTCGAATGCTGCTAGATCTTCCAAGTTAATTTCCAACCAATATTTCCCAAGATTGTAATTGCGCTTTAAAGTATCCCTGAATAGATTGTATGAATTAGTACTAGCACTGAGAGATCAATCAAAAGCACAAAATGTGAGAACAAAGCAAAAATGTTTCATGTGTTGCTTACCGATATTTGTAGTTAAAGTTGCCCTCGTGAAATTGTCGAATAAATTCTTTGAATTTCTTTTTCGAGTGCTGGAGGTTCACGCGGTTTTCATGAGTGTCGTCCACCGCAAAATTGTCGGAGAAAAACACTCCTGGATCGTCGAAACCTTCCATGGTACGTGTTCGAGTTTAAAAAGCCAAGCGAAAATACAGCGGATCAACAAGTATGACACCCTACTAAACTCCGTTTCGGCGGGAAACTTTTAAGGAGGCTTTAAGGCCGATACAGATGTCGATTAGGATGCTGTTTCATGAGTACGATTGTCGCAAATCCCGGTCGGGAGATCGATATTTTTTAGGCCGAATTCCCATTAAGCGCGTCACGCGCGGCGTAATTTGCACGTCACGAATTAACCAATCAAAACATCCCATTTTATTCGCGCGGCAAATAATGCAATAAAATGGGATGTTTTGATTGGTTAATCCGTGACGCAGCGGATAACGCGACGCGTGACACGTCCAGTGGGAATTCGGCTTTGGGGTGCCGTCACATACAGCCCGTAATCCGTAATCTGCACCAGAAAGTCCGCAAAAGTTACTAGGTATTTCGTCCGTAACGTTACGTGTGCTTTTATCTCCTTGTGTCCCATGATTGGCTCCTTGGGTCCCTTGTGGCCCATGGGAGCCGTAATTCCATGAAATTTCCGTAAGAGTTACTACAAGTTACTAGTTATTACTAGTAATGCTTTTTCTAATTTTATTTATTTAACTAAATTTGACAATTTAATTAAAACTTTTGGGTAATTATATATATATACTATCACTGCCTCACCTCCGATTTTGATCCAATTTGGCTCTTTCGACGCGTTTTTTTTTTTAAACTTTTTTTTTCTACAAAATTGTCGCTCTCCTCCGCGAGACGAGATATTTAGCGTCAAAGTTGATGACTTTTCAGGTTAAGAAACCTGTCACTTCGATGAAATGGATATGTGCTGCAGTCACGCGTGCATGCTCTATGATCACATATGCATGCGTTGTACTAACTTAGAGCTACTGTGCACAAAATTTAAACAAATGAAGTGCACGAATGTACTACGTATATGCAAAAGTGTACTTCGTAGAGAACATAAAAAATGTTCGGTTTACTAGAATTTGCTCACCTAACATATTCGAAGGAAAAATTAGTAGATTTTTTAATTCAACACGGTGTTTTAGCATCTACAATTACGTGTAGTAAGTGTGGTAATATTCTAGACATTGATAAGAAAACATTGTCGTATAGATGTAAAAAACGGTATTATATAAAGAATGAACACAAGAAACGTGTCTCTAAACAGTGTGATTTTTTTAAAAGTGCCAAAAAAGACACATGGTTCGACAAAAGTAATCTTGACGTGGGTACCGTTTGCAAAATCGTAGCATGTTTTTTGATGTTACGATACCCACGTCAAGATGATACGCAGGATGAAACTGGTGTGACGCCGAAGACGATTGTAGACTGGTTCGGTTTTTGCCGAGAGGTAAATATCTTTTTCTTTAAATATTTCTTAATTAAACATCTGTATACTTTAGATATTACATAGTAATATATACAAAATATTAATAATATTTCTAATTTCAGGTCTGTGTGTTCTGGGCTGATAAACATAGTGAAAAGCTTGGTGGCCCAGGACGCACGGTCGAAATCGATGAAGCAAAAATTGGCCGACGGAAGTACAATCGTGGACGGCTCATTAAAGGTCAATGGATCTTTGGAGGATATGAGCGAGATTCTAAGAAGATTTTCATCGTTCCAGTTGAGGATCGAACAGAAGAGACACTCCTGGCATGTATCAAGGAATGGATTATGCCAGGAACTACAATTGTGTTCGATTGTTGGAAGTCCTACAATTGTTTAAACAATGAGGGCTTCCAACATCTAACGGTCAACCATTCTTATAACTTTGTTGATCCTCAAAGTGGTAAGTGTTTAAAATTAATACATATTTAATTTTTTAAATAAAATTTTACTATTATTATGTTCTATATTTGTTAAATTTACAGGCGCGCACACACAACACATCGAACGTGTTTGGAAAGAAGTTCGGGGAAATATTCCAAGATATGGAAGAAGATCCAACCATTTTATTGGATATTTAACCGAATTTTTCTTCAAACGTGCGTACAGCCGTCTAGAACGAATTGAAATCTTCTTCGACATTATCGCTGAAATATATCCTTCAACACCGACTCCTGACCAACCAGAAACATCCTGCAACGAACCTGGCACGAGCGCTGTGTAAAGACATGTTTTTTGTGTGCATTCTTTATATAATATCGTTTTTTATATCTATACGACAATGTTTTCTTATCAATGTTTAGAATACTACCACACTCACTACACGTAATTATAGATGCTAAAACACCGTGTTGAATTGAAAAATTTACTAATTTTTCCTTCGAATATGTTAATCTTGTACAATATACATATATATATATATATATTATTTTTTACATAAAATATATTTTTACATATATTATATATCTTTATATTACATAACATATATTAATATATCTTTAAAAAAAAATTGTTTTTTAATTTCAAGTCGCAAACTCATGTTAAGTAGTATAATTATGAACCTTGTTTTGCGTAGACACAGGGTATTCCAAGGTATTCACAGGGGATCCGCCCCGGAGGGGGGGCGGACCCCCTGTGTAAAATAAAAATAACAAAACTTTCGTGCGTATTCCAGAGCGGCATAGATTGTTTGATCTATCAAAGTAGCTTTAACATTATATATTTTTGTGCAATCTAAACTAGCTTTAGCATTAAAGTAGAATACTCTGTGTCTACGCAAAGCAAGGTTCATAATTATACTACTTAACGTGAGTTTGCGACTTACAATTAATGATTACCAAAAATATATTTTGTATTTCGTGCACAATTCTATTAGTACGCATGCGCGCGTGACCGCAGCACATACTCATGTCGCTGCAATTCGTCGAAATGACAGGTTTCTTAACCTGAAAAGTCGTCAACTTTGACGCTAAATATCTCGTCTCGCGGAGGAGAGCGACAATTTTGTGAGAGAAAAAATTAAAAAAAAAACGCGTCGAAAGAGCCAAATTTGATCAAAATCGGAGGTGAGGCAGTGATAGTATATAATTACCAACTTTTGTTAAAATCATAATATATTCTGTAGTTTTCTTATGAATAAAATATAAATAAACAATTATAATCTGTTAAATAATAAATAGTACTACCATTACGTCTGTATTTACGGCTTCATGGGACACAAGGAGATAAAAACACACGTAACGTTACGGACGAAATACCTAGTAACTTTTGCGGACTTCCGGTGCGGATTACGGATTACGGGCTGTATGTGACGGCACCCTTATTCGAAAAATCAATTAGCGTCCGGAGATTGCATCTTTTATACTTTATTTCTTTTTTCTTCTTTCACGACAGTGCAAGAAAATGCGGTTAGAATAAAGAAGCATAATGCTAAATTTAGACCGCGTTCAATATCCAATAGCAGAGTTTCGATCGGACGCGGTCTGAATTCGGCATAATATCCAGCCCCTTTCGTCATATACATTTCCACTTTCTGCATGCGGAAGCGCAGAATAGAACGAAACAAACATGGTGCTCGTTCCTGATATGAGAGAGAGAAAAAGTGCGACGAAATACGAAAAGTACACATAATAATCAAATTTTCATTCAATAACATCGCCTTCTTCTCTGCGCACGCAAAGTGATCGTGAATAAGTTTACGTCGGTCGAGTAACTCGACTCAAGTTTATTTCGTTCCGGACGCACCGCCCGTCGTCTCACGAATGTAAATAATATTTTGGAAATCATCATTTTCTTCCCGGGACAGTTTGGTGATATTTGATAGCAGCTATGTGATGACATCACTCAAAAAATGTGATACGGGAGAAGATCAATATTAGATCTGGTGTGCGAAATGGTACGAGAGAAAGAACATATTCGCTGGATCTGATATCAATCAAGTTATTGACGAGAATTTCCCGCCCAAGTAAACTTAATATTCTATCGCTTCGCCAATTTGTGTATATCGAAAGTGTATTTGCGTAGATTATCAGCTTGGAGTTCAGATGAAATATTTTTAAATGTACCGCCACAGTTTTCTACAGCTGTCTTGATGCTGTTTTTTTTTTCGTACACTTGCTTCGCGACAAGACGAAAATACGACAGATAGAACGCAGTTGCAGCGCGAATTAGTGTAATGAAAAATTCGCCGCAAGGATGTCATTCGCTGATAAATCTTTTAATCGACTTTTATTCTGTTGATAGGTCGTGTACGACGTCGTGTGTGATTAATAATGCAAGCATTCTAAAATTGGAGCGGCACTGACGGTATATGTCGACGAGATCAAATTAGTGGGACATGTTTGTCTGTTGTTCGTGTCATTTATGCTAAGTGATAAGTCATGCCCGGAGAACCATCGGCCACAACTGGAAACAAATCCAGTGGCAAGGCAAAGAGGATCTCTATACCTCGTGTACAAAGCAGCACCGACACAGAGCTACAGTCTCAACAGAGTGGTTCCACTCCGCTGCAACCCACTGCGTTGCACTATGTCAGCTTTCGTTCAGAATTAGAGGACAGCCCTGTCCCACCAGCGGTGCGATGCCGTTTATATGATCTCTTCCAACAAATCGAAAAGGAATTTGAAATGTTATACACTGAAAATCTTGGACGTAAGTATATTTATCACATTTTACAATCCAATATGTCTTACTGTCGTTATTTCATTACAGTGCAGGAGAAGATTGATATCTTAAATGAAAGGCTTGAAAGAGAATGTTATGGATCAGGCGAACGCAGTTTGCCTCCTGGAGATCTTACGGATTATCCAGAAGCGAAAAATCTTTCCAAACAGAAATGTAAGACTTTGCTATAAAATTGTATTAATATATCACATACGTTTGTTAATTTACGTTACTTTTATATAATTTTATAACATTCTAATTATCATTTATTTATCTATCCATTCCAGAGGATTTTACAACAATGATACAAAAGATAAAATAAGTGGTATAATGAAATTTAAATTTAACAATGACGCTATTACATTATTGCTTGGCTCTTGAATCTAGTGACGATATTTTTCTTCTCATTCGCAGCTATGGGTGCAAGCTCGGCGCAAAAGATTAAAGCCTCTCACAAATTGAAAGCGCAGACTAGTAAAATAGTGTCGAGCTTCAAAAATCCGACAATGACCTGTACCATGCAGAAGGAGTACATGGGTCATCGAGACGGTGTGTGGGAGGTGTCGGTGGGCAGATCGGGTCAGCCTATCATAGCGACCGCCTCCGCCGATCATACGGCACGCATATGGGCGATAGACAGCAGCCGTTGTTTGCTGCAGTACATCGGTCACACCGGATCTGTGAACTCGGTTCGATTTCATCCGAACAGGGAACTGGCGCTAACAGCGAGCGGCGATGGTTCCGCTCACGTGTGGCAGGCGGCTGTCGATTGGGAGCAGAAAAGGCTACCGTCGCTAGAGGAACTTCCAGTCGGTTCCGAACGGTCTGCTGCTAACAATCTAATCAGCAACAACGACGAGCAAGATGACCCGCCTACTCTGAGAACGCCGATACGCGAGCTTCTCGGCCATTCAAGCGTCGTGATGGCCGCAGACTGGCTCCCTGGTGCCGAACAGCTGGTCACAGCTTCTTGGGACAGGACAGCAAACTTGTACGACACGGAAACTGGGGAGATCATACACACGCTGTGCGGACACGATCAAGAACTGACTCACGTGTCAACGCATCACACGCAAAGATTGTGCGTCACGTCCAGCAGAGACAACACATTCCGGTTGTGGGATTTCAGAGAGGCGATACACTCAGTTTCAGTGTTTCAAGGACATACAGAGTACGTATACTTTGGATAGTTTTCTTCCAACATTTCAGTCGCCTATCAATAATTCTAAAATAAGTCAGTAATTCCAATCTTTCGTTGATATTTACAGAACCGTGACATCGGCGGTTTTCACGAGGGAGGATAAAGTTGTGTCTGGCTCAGACGACAGAAGCGTGAAAGTATGGGAGTTACGTAACATACGTAGTCCATTAGCGACAATACGTGGAGATAGTGCTGCTAATAGGCTGTCAGTTTCTAGCACCGGGGTGGTGGCAATACCGCATGACAATAGACAAATACGTTTATTTGATTTGACTGGCCAACGTCTAGCAAGATTGCCTAGAACTAGTAGACAGGTAAAAAATATTGTCTCTTTTTATAACTATATAAAAAACTGCCTCTTGAATCATTTAGTCAAATCAATAATAACATTACATTTCACTGAAATACGTAGTTATTTGTGGCGTTGAAAATTTGAGATCGCAGATACTGTAGAAAATCATGCTTCATATTAGATCACACATCAGGCTTTTTATTTTTTCAAATGAGAAAAAATATGAGATGAATTTTTATATACATCTTGCTATTTCGCATTATATCATAATTGTTACATGTAGAAATTATTTAATACGATTACGTTTACAGGGCCATCGTAGAATGGTGTGTTCAGTCGCTTGGTTGGAAGATAACAGTGTGTGTAATTTATTTTCTTGCGGCTTCGATAGATTAGTATTAGGTTGGAGCGTTCTTCCCGTTAAAGATGCTTGAATATCAAAAGTTTTGTGATTTTATCAAATATTTCGTGTCACGTTAGTGTGATATTGGGAATAGCTAGATGCAATTTATAGAGATGGAAGTGCATATGTAACCGTACAGCAAAAATCCAGCAATTAATCCAATCAAAGATCCTCCCTTTCCACTTTTGCAGACGACTGCAAGAGAAAAAAAAAACAGAATATATGTATCATTATACTGTATGTAAATTATAGATGGAAGGTGGATTTTAAAGTTGCAATAAAGCTATGGCGATGTCTTAAATGCGTAAATCTGCATTTTGACACGGATTCCTACCTGAGTACGCAGTTAACAGGCACAAGACGGTGTAACCTTGAATGAGGAGGCAGTACGGACTTGTGGCTATATGCCTCCACACTATTCCCAACAAGCCCAATAGTTTTCCGCAACTGCCAATTGTTAGAGCGCAGCTTAAATCTCTTATGCTGTATTTATATGGTTTCTGACCAACGATAAACCATTTCAACTCGGTTACTGCAATGACTGCACAAATGAACGCTACGAAGGCGAGCGCCGTATATATCAGCGAATTATAGAAGTTGCAATAGTCTTGCAGCGCGTCGTTGTAAATCCATTCCACTTCCGACGCAATTGATTCCGTTAGGCCTGTGTCGCAGGAAGCCCAAACTCTGAACGACTCGGCTAGCCACAATATTAAAGCCAATTTCCAATATGATTTAAAATTGCTATTGTACAAAAGATGTCTGTAAGCTGATTTTTCTATCAGAATCAGATCTACGAAGACTATAACAGGATCGTATTCGATGTATTTGTCAGCTGACGAGCCGCATTTCTCCTGAAATAAATTATAAAGTTAATAAAGTCGCAATGCGAGCAGGATGAATTTGTATTATGCTTACACATTTCAAAACTTTGAGGACACTGGGGCAGTATCTCCTGAAAAGCTCTTTGCACTCGGCTCCGCAATTTATGCAAATATACATTTAGATAGATTTGATGTTATCTGAAACACTAACGAATGAGTCTATAAACACACTTTGAATTTAAAACAAAAATATACGATTGTTTATGCTTAAGAAGATTAAATTTAATTGAAACATGTGCGCGATATTTATTTTCATTAATAATTTATAAATTCTTTGTAGAACTTGCACTTTGTACAAGTGCACTTATCAAAAGTACTTATCAAGAATCATGATAATTTCCATTGTAATCGTTGTTATCGAAAAAACATGATAATTTCCATTGTAATCGTTATTTATATGTGATAATTTCAGTATAAATATTTATTAAAAGATAAATTCTCTTAAAGTCATCTTTGTTCTCTAAACGGTTTTGTAACTAAATTTAGTAGAAAAATGTAATACATTTACTAACAAAACAGCAAATACAAACCGGTAGAATGATGATACAAGTGATAAAAAATGAGGACATAGAAAGCACGTCCTACAAAAATCCATGTTAAAACAGCTCTATCGTACAAAAAAATTCGCATCTAATTTAGTGTTATGCATATGCTACTTTGTTATTTTATTCTTTATGCTACTTAGTTATTTCGCTGCTCGAATCGCTTTACAGGCAATAGAGATAAAATTGGAGGAACCTATGACCTAACAAACATAAACTGCAGATGCTTTTGATCATGGAGAGGGGAGCCAGTTTAATATGGGTTTCGTAGACATATGTGGTGGGGATAAAGACGACTGAATATTATTTCCTTATGCATTTGCTTATGCTTATATATATGGCCGGAGCACAGACTTTTACATAAAGCATAACGCATAAGCATAAGGAAATTGATTGGTCTATATATAAGCATAAGCAAATGCATAAGGAAATGGACCAATCAATTTCCTTATGCGTTATGCTTTATGCAAAAGTCTGTGCTCCGGCCAATAATATTCAGTCGTCTTTATCCCCACCACATATGTCTACGAAACCCACATTAAACTGGCTCCCCTCTCCATGATCAAAAGCTTTATGCAAAAGTCTGTGCTCCGGCCATATCTCTGACACTGCATGGAGCCTACAGTCTTCGTTCTACATTTCACTGTGAATTTTTCCAAAATAATGTCAAGTATAATTCTGCCGACAGGACAAACATTTCCTATTTTGGGATTTGGAACTTGGAATGTAAGTTCACAAAAGAACGACTCATATTGCAATTTAATTAAATTTATATAAATATATTAGACTTTTTAAAATTATAAGGATTGAAATTTTAAAATCTGATGTGCAAGAGTGAATTGAAAAATGAGGCCAAATGCTGGACGTTCAAGATACAAGTGACTTCAAGTATACAACTTATTAATTGCGGTAAAAGAGTTTAATTATAAGAATAACAACCAGCGTTTTAAGCACGAATATTCTCGTTTCTTATTTTTGTGATTATTTCGTACGTGTTTTATCTCTTCTTTAACTTTGTCAATTATAAGATTATGTAAAAACATGAATTGTATAGACACTAAATAAGGTCAAATCTGTTGAGCAAAACGTTTGTCAATATATAATAATAAAGAAACTATAGCTCGAAACTCTAGCATTTGATCTTATCACTCTTGCGTTAGATTTAAAAAATCGATTCATTAGCTTTTGCATTATACTTCACATTTCATCAAGGCCTATAACATGATTATTTTTGTTTGCGATAAATTAAATTACAATATAATAATATATGTATAATAAAATAAAAAGGCAAGTCCGGAGGAGATAGAAACAGCTGTAGATGCAGCATTGGAGGCAGGCTACAGACACATCGACACAGCTACCGCATACGAAAACGAGCATGCTATTGGCAAAGTTTTGAAAAGATGGTTGGATTCTGGTAGAATCAAGCGATCTGAGCTATTTGTTGTAACAAAGGTACACTCCTCAAATTTTAATACATTATTTATCAATAATAAAAAAATACTAACATGGGGATATACACGTCATTAGCTACCTCTCCACGGCAATAGACACGAAGACGTAGAAAAATGGATCGAGAAATCACTTCAGAATTTGCAATTAGACTACTTGGATCTGTATTTGATACATACTCCAGTGACATTCGAAGATGTGGGAGAATTGCATCCGTATGATGAAAACGGAGAAATAAGACTCGATATGAAAACAGATCATGTGAAAATATGGCAAGCGATGGAGCAACAAGTGGTGGACAAACGTACCAAAGCAATTGGATTGTCCAATTTCAACATTGCTCAAATACAAAGGATTTTGAATATCGCTAAACTACCCGTCTCAAATTTGCAGATTGAATTGCATGTGTATTTTCAACAGAACGAATTGGTAAATTTCTTACTTCTCACAAATATCTTTATGCTATTACAGGCATGCAAAAGTTTCTGTCGCTCACATGTATAGATTAACATTATAAAATAAATCATTTTTAATTTTAATTTATAAATTTTAAATGATTGTAATGCAATTTTTTTTCTTATTTTAATACTGAAAAATATTTTTATTTAAAATATTATATTATTCTTCAAAAACATTAAGAAAGAAAATAAAACGATTGAAACTTATGCATACTCCATTATGTATAGTTTGAAAATATATGCTAATTTATTCCTTGTTATCTTAGGTAAAATTTTGTAAAAACACCAATATTAGCGTAACAGCGTACTCCCCTTTGGGTACTCGTGGATTTCTCAAGAAAATAGGAAAGGCAGATACAGTGCCAGATCAATTGGAAAATCCCACTGTGTTAGAAATTGCAAGAAAGTACAAGAAATCCCCTGCTCAAATATTACTTAAACATATCATTCAAAAAGGCATAGTAACTATCCCAAAAAGTACGAATCCTACAAGGATCAAAGAAAACATCCAATTGTTTGATTGGGAACTTAATCCTGATGATGTTAACAACTTGAATGCTCTCGATATGGGAGAATCTGGGCGCATCTGTAATTTTCTGTTCTTCAAAGGTATTACAAAACATCCTGAATTTCCTTTCAAAGATTGTAAAGAATAATTTTGAATTTTGTAATTTGTATCTTATAAGTGTTATGCTGTTACTTATATTCCATGATGATTTATGAAATGTCATTAGCTTGTAAAAATTTTATCACAGTTTGATAAAGCAATAGACATGTGAGGCAAATTACAATTGTTATTTTGCAAAAGATTATATTTTATATACATATAGACGTGTATAATTATTTCTTTTAAAAACAGTATGTTGAAACAAATTCATGATAAATTTAAAATATGAAACATTTAGGTTATACCAAATTGTACTTTGCTTTCACATGCCTTTCACATTACCTACTTTCACCTCAATTATTTTCGGTTGTTGACTCTAGTGAAATTTGTCGTTGTTGATAAAATATAGCATCAAACACTCTGTGACCATATTTACCATGACTGCTTTCTAAAGTCTTTTGAAACAACTTTTACTCATCCACATGTAGAAACATAACCTTTTCTTATCTGTCAGTGCAATTGCCGGATCACTCGCACTGTCACAATTGCAATAATGAGTAATTATAATTATCAGTTTACTTCAATAACAGAGTAAGAATCGTTTTACTTCTTATTGTAACATATATTTCTAATAGTCTTCATCTTGTTAAATAATAATGTTGATAATTACATTTCAATATTAATTTTATTAAATAATCAAATACTGTTAAATTAAATTTGATTTAATTATGTTTATTCTCTTGATAACTTCTAATTTTTAAAAGAAACATGCAATTTGTCCTGAAATTAAAATATAATGTGTTATATGTGTTTTAAAATATAATGATAAAAAATATAAGTATACTTACAGTTCAGATGTTGCTGCAGACTAAAACTTGTCTCTCCATTTATCACTCTATATTAAGTTCGTTGTATGGCAAATTATGTCTCATTATTTGTATACATATATATAAAAGGAGATTAAAATTGTTTAAAAATGACAAGATACATCAATTTTTACTTTGCCCATTTCAAGTTCATCAACAAGAAAATAGTAATATATATTGTCAAAATTTTAGTATTTGAGGAATTGTTTCATGTAGCATATAGAGCTAACAATTTAAAATTAGATAACATACAATTGATGAAACATAAATTTAGTTCAGTATATATATATCTCTAATTAACAGAATCTATTTAAAATAGCAATGATAATATAACGAACATTTCTAGTAATCTTCGGCTTTTGTTAGATACTACAAAATGACTAAACATTCACATTGTTGTTACAATTATACAATTGTCACAATGTTGCATGTGTACATTCAATTAAGTTCATGAATAATACTACATTCATTGAAAACTTATTGTTAAAATTCTTCGCCTGTGCGTTCGAGAAATCTCTCCCTCAGCTTGCAAATATTACAGATAAAATTAAAATTAATAATACATTTAATGCCGTGCGTTTAAGTAACATTTTGTAAACTGTGTATCGTCAGAGAGCAATTACGCTCTCTCGACCAGCTCCGACGCCGATCCATTTAACTGTAACAAAAAATAAATTCTGTAATTCCATCCCTAAATTTATATAAATAATATGCGCTATAATGAAACATTCATATACCTGGCACGTCTAAGTATTCTTCTATGATTTGTATGTATTTATGCGCATTGGGTGGCAATTTATCAAAAGAACGTACACCCTCGGTATTGGATTGCCAACCTTCTACTGTTTTATATACAGTTTCAACCTTTGTCATTTCCCAGGTACTACTTGGGAAATAATCTATATCCTTCCCCTTCAATCGATATCCAACGCACACTTTGATCTCCGGTAATGTATCCAAAATATCAAGTTTTGTTAAGCATATAGAAGTGTATCTGAAGCAAGAAAAATATAACAATTAATATCACATTGATCACAAATGAATAATAATTTACAGCAGAGATGGGAATTAGTTGCAACTTTCGACTCGATTTCTGAGACACCTACTGTTCCCTCCTTGCCGCTCGCATGCTAGAAACGAGTCACCAAACGCGCTAACAACGCCCGTAACTAAGATGCGTGATACTCAGCCTCAAGAATATCCATATCACAAATGCAACAAGATAATAAATATGGGATAAATAGGTTTCCACCTGTGAGGTGTTATTGTTGAAGAACACGTCAATAATAGTACCTCACAGGTGATGTTGGAAATCTATTGTCCCATATTTATTATCTTGTTGCATTTGTG